CCACAAATCAGTTTGAGAAAGAGAAGACCAATTCATACCTTGCTGACAAATGCAACAGAGTTTTCACTTCCGGCCTTTCCAAATGCTCCAAACATAGGTCTCGATGTGACCTACCGTCAAAGCAAAGAGTGTTATATTTCTTAATCAACCAGGTAAACTTAAGAGACGTGTTGTTAAGAGAATATGTCCAGAAACTAGTAGTCAGTGTTGCTTACTGGCTCAGGAGTGGGTATGCTCGCATTTGCATCTCCCATATTAGCCCATGATATGTTGCCTCCCTTGATTATTATTTCTGGTTTTGCTCCAAAGAAAGCTGGTGTCCATATAACGAGATCAGCCAGCTTCTTCTCCTGCAGAGCAGTGCAATTTTACAAAAAAAAAACTCATTAACGAATGCAGGCAATAATATGTGCATAAGAAACGATGTTTCATACAGTTTTGGCATGTATTGGACGACAGAGCAAAAAAACTTGTACCAGGAAGAGAAAACATACCTCAACCGAGCCAATTAAGTCAGCAAAACCATTGGCTATAGCTGGGTTTATAGTGTACTTTGCAATGTACCTCTTTATTCTCGCGTTATCATCATCAGTATTAGGATCAGTGGCTCCCCTCTGAGCCTTCATCTTGTCAGCAGTCTGCCAAGTTCTGCTTATTACCTGCAAAAAATGGAAATCACAATTTTCTTTTCATGCAAAGTGCAAAGTGTAAGAGGCTACAAGAGAACATGCCACAAGGCACAAAGTAAGCAATCTCTGCAGAGAAGAGATAGAAAATACTAGAATCTAGCAAAGAGTCGAAAAACTCTTTTGAGAACATAGAGTATCAAGTATTGATTTCACAAAATGTTTATGGTTAGAGGGTGAACCTCTCCAATGCGACCCATTGCTTGTGAGTCAGAAGAGATAATGCTGATTGCTCCCATATCATGCAATATGTCCTCTGCTGCTATTGTTTCAGCTCTTATCCTTGATTCAGCAAAAGCTACATCTTCTGGGATGTTCTTGTCAAGGTGATGGCACACCATCTGATTGTGTTTGCATGTGAGTTTATGAACAGGTCGAAAGTAATATACTTTCATTAAATTCTCATACCAGCATGTCAAGATGTTCATCTACAGTATTTTTTGTATATGGCCGTGTTGGGTTGGTTGAAGACGGTAGTACATTTTTTACTCCACAAACTCTGATGATATCTGGCGCATGTCCACCACCAGCGCCTTCGCTGTCCAGAAGGATTTAACAAAAACAGCACTTCAATATTTGCTTCAAACATAGGCAGTAACCTTACTTTGGTATGGTTGCTATTTATCTAGTTTTATCAGCTTGAACTGGGCAATTGATGCAACAAATTTAAGATACTGTCATCAACCAACCCAACATGGCCATATACAAAAAAAAATACTGTAGGTGAAGAGGTGAGCTGCTGATGAACCTGTGGTATGTATGTATTGTTCTCCCTCGAAATGCATCGATTGTGTGCTCCACAAAACCCGATTCATTTAACGTGTCAGTATGAATGTTCACCTGTCAAATAAAAACAACTGAGTACATTTGGCAAACTTTCAAATATGTTCCTTAAAAGAGGATGTTAGTATAAAGAGCTGACTTGGATATCATATTCTTCTGCAACTGCCAAACAATTATCTATTGCAGCAGGAGTAGTTCCCCAGTCCTCATGCAGCTTCAATCCCATTGCTCCAGCCTCCACTATGTGACAAAGCTCTGAGGGTTTAGCTGTATTTCCCTAACAATGATACATTTGCTAACCGTAAGAGTTCTACTCAGTTATTGGTGTATCCATCTTAGGAAGTGCAGACTTTTGGAAAAAGATGATTACATGAATAACAAGCATATCATTATCAAGATGAACCATATCCAACCTTTCCTGTAAACCCAAAGTTTAGTGGCAGGCTATCCGTGGACTGCAGCATTAACTTCATATCGAATGGAGAAGGGGTGCAGGTAGTAGCACGTGTACCATAAGCAGGCCCTGTCCCTCCTCCAACCATAGTTGTAATACCTGCATATAATTACGAGTTAGAGTGATCAGTGTTCTAAACACTTGCAAACTTATGCTTTCTCTCCCATACATGAAAACATGAAATAAGCACATTCCAAAATGGATAATCTGTTCAAGGAGAATATATGTAGTCAGGCTACACTACTCACCGCTTGACACAGCTTCGTATACTAACTGCGGACATATGAAATGCACATGACAGTCAATAGCTCCTGCAGTTACAATCATTCCTTCTCCAGCAATAACTTCAGTCTTATTCTAATAAAATCAACAAGAGGAGGTAAGTAGCCCAATATGGTAACTACAGTGTTCATACAGTGTATCAAAATTACCCCTATAAGCATATTGCTCTGCACACCATGCATGGTATCTGGATTGCCTGCTTTGCCAAGACCGACAATATGACCATTTCTAATGCCAATATCTGCCTTATATATTCCTGTATAATCAATTATCACACTATTGGTAATGACAGTATCCAAAGAAAGAGCTTCAGATTGCTCTATCCCTTGTCCCATGCCTTCTCTTAGAACTTTTCCACCACCAAATACACATTCATCTCCATAAACAGTATAATCCTTTTCGATTCTTGCATATAAGTTGGTATCACCTAGCCGAAGCTTGTCGCCAGTTGTAGGACCGTACATATTTGCATACTTTTCACGCGTAATTGTAGTTGTAAATGTAGGATCTTCCCCTGCTATCCCTTCACTGCAAAGAGGTCAATAAAAACTTGATTTTGTTGAATATGCAAGTGAATAGACCATGTTGAAACTCAAATCTCGAGAACATAAAAAATGCAAAATAAGTAAGACTTAACCTAACATCAGCATCGTCGAGGTGCTTAAAGCCTCTTCTCTCCATGTTTTCCATCACAACTGTCCAATTGACATCATCAACCGGACCGTCAACAATACCATTTCCTCCCCTTATCACTTTATTTCCACCAATATTCACAAGTACAACGCTTTTTCTTTCTCCTGGCTACGAAAAACATAACAATTTTCACTGACAGGACTAAAAACATGGTCGTGCCTTAGCCAAAAAATGTAACAAAAGGCATCACATTAACAGTGTGTAATGTGACAACAGCAGAAAATCCCTTAAAATGATGCACATACAAGCTTTTTCAAAAAGGATTTCAAAGGTTTTCTAATGTTAATATTGCTGTCTCCATAAACATCTAGATAGAATAGATACTGAAGAGGTTTCTGATTGAGGCCAACTCAAAAGGTACATGAGGAATGAAACAAGAGACAGAGATATTCAGAAACCCAACCTCAAATCGTACAGCGGTTCCAGCTGGTATGTTTAGACGCATACCAAGAGCTTTACGTCTATCAAACACCAACAATGGATTCACTTCAATGAAATGGTAATGACTTCCAACCTGAAAAAGAGACTCTGAAATATTAAATATAACGTCTTTGGTGAAATCTATCTCCATCCATATAAAAAACCAATGAGGATTGCAACAGAGAAGAAGCACGAAATGCCGAAATCACACACCTGAACTGGTCTGTCTCCAGTGTTGACGACTTTCAGAACTACTGCCTTCCTTCCATGATTTATAATTATACTTCCATCTCCATATTTTATATCTCCAGGAATTACATCCTCATGAACAACTTCTGGAAACTTATCCAATGAAGGGACTACAAAACGAGCCAATAAACATATCATAATCAAACTACATTAATAATATTACAACTTCCACAAACAAGCAAAGTATATTAGAAAACAAAAATGAAATTTAGTGGTAGAATGAAACAAACCTGGAAGGAAAGATCCATGCAAAGCTAATTCAAGATTCCCGTTTTCAGAAGAAATGGGTTCATGAACCGTGACTAACTTTGTACCATCGCGAAATGTCCCTTCGACCTACACAACACCAAAACTAGTTATCGACACAGCCGTTGCAAAAACACAATGAACATAAAACATTTGCAAAATCTATAAGAAGAAAAGCAACAGAGATAAAGTTAATGAATACCACCTGAACCGTATACAGAAGATGAACAACAGCAGGAAGAACCTGTCTCCTGTAACAAAAAAAAAAACAAGAAAATGATAACCAAGTACTTAGTTGTCTAAAACACAGAACACAACTGAATCAACAGTATATAGTTCAACTAATCACCTTCCTAATAGTTGTCTCCCAATATCCATCAGCTCAGCTACGCTTTTCTCACCATCACGAATAAACTCAAGAATCTACACAATCATTATTCGATAAAAAAAAACAAAAAAAATTCAAATCTTCTAATACACTAAAAATAAGTTTACTAATCGTCAAAAAGAGTATACCTGAGTAGCAATGAGAGCTACAGCTTCAGTGTAATTAAGTCTAATACCACGAGCAAGACGCTTCTGTGCAAGGAAACCTGCTTGATGAAGCTCTAACTTCTCAATCTCTCGAGGCAACAACTTCATTTTCTCCTCCTCCACCAGAAAATTCGAAAAGCAGATAAGTCAACGACCAAAGACTTCGCCGGAAAAAAAAAAAAAAAAACAGATCAACGAAGGGACGATTCCGTTGACGAATCAGTGATTCGCAGAGTCACACAGTACAATGTTCAATTTATCTAATTTTGCTTGCTTACGTCATAGATTCCGATTTCTTTTTATTAGGGACATTTTACTATTTTAGGCACCGAGGTTCGAATCGTTTTCCCTGCGGTTAGAAAAGCGTAACCGCTCGTTTATAGCTGAAATCAAGATTAACCGATCGCTTTCCTCTGACTATGTATAAAACTCTCAAAACATACTAAAATTTTCTTAAAGTTTCTCTTTCATTTTCTTGGAAAATTTTTTACAGGCGAGAAAAATAAAACTATCCTCTCGAGATTTACGAGCTACATTCATCATAAATGGTATGCAAAATTTTATTTGTTCTCTACTCTCAATAATCTCAAATATTCAAAGCCATGTTTGGGTTAATCTTTTTTTTTTTGGTATTGGATTTTTGACAGGAGCAAACAGCGAGGAGGAGGCAGCGACGTCGTCCTCTTGAGACATGTGGTGGTGTAATACTCTCAATGGCTCGTGTTGTTTACACAAGAAACAAGACTTTAAAGAAGAAGAATCTGACCTCTTCGGTTCTGCAGAAACTCTTCGATTTCGTTGTCTTCTTGATTTCCTTGACAAGTCCGTTTCATCGACATTTTCTCGCGGTTCTCTCTGTATTCGACGATCACATTCTCGCGTTGCAAGAGACTATCGAGACTTATTTTCCTTCTACCAGCTTTGTGTTTTTTAAGATCTCTGATTTGCTGATCGTTTTAGAGACTCTTCCTGAGAGATTCGATGTGTTCTTGAAGAAACTTCCGAGTATGATGAACCGAGTTGTGTGGCTAGATTTGGTGCTGGTTTATGTCATTTCTTGGCTTGGTTTGTTGGTGAACATGTTGGGACGTTGGAGGGATAAGAACAAAGGGACCAAGGAGAAAGAGATCACGGTGGATAGGAGCTTTAGCAGATCAGGATCAAACTTGCAAGAAGAAGATGAAGAGAAGGAGAGATTAGGGACTGAGGGGAAGAAAGCAACGTACAAGGAGGCATTGCAGAGAGGAAGTAGCGGAGAAGATGGCGGTGGAAGCACTGGTCGTAGCAGTAGCAGCCGCGGTGATCCTATTTTGGAACTGTTTGAAAATGGATGGATTCAGAATCCCATCAAACGAAGTAGTAGAAGCGCCGATTCGCTCACATTCTCGCGTTCTGATTCCTACTCAACCTGACCTTTTCCCCTTCAATTCTGCATTAGCACAAAGCATTAGACTAAATGTTCAGTCTCTGTACCAACTTCTTGTATTCATTACTTTGTAAATATCATATTGATGATCCATTTTGTTAACTCTACTACTCTACTGAGCATTGTCTTCTAGATCATAAAAACATAAGGTAGAAGGATAACAAGAGATGGTGTAATGATGTTAAAATTGGGGTTTTTGGTTTATTTATATTTACCTGATATACATCTTTTTTTGGCTTAACCAAAAGAAACAGCAAAAAATCTGAGTATAATCACAATGGGGCCTGTACATATCTTCTTCTCTATGATATAACTTCTGTAACTTGTAAAAAAGAAAAAACAAAGCTTTACAAACAAAGGTTTTTGAGTATTATATTTTGTCTTTCTCACTGGCGAATCGAGTAGCTTTTCTTCCAGAAGAAGCTGAATGGTCTAGCCAACGACTTTCTTCTCGACATTGATTTCGACAAGACTCTCGGTTCAAAACCTTGAACTGAAGGTGAAGCAGGAGTTGATCCATGGACAGTCATTGGTGCTGAGAGAGATTTCCGGGGAGGTTCCTTTTGTGGCGGCTCATCTCTGTTTGGAGATGGCTGGTCCCGTTGCTGCCTTTGTTCCCTAAACAACATTAGAAGCTTCTGAGACTTCTCCCTGCCTCGCGGACTCCCGTTTACTGAGATTGACACTAATGATGGTATCACACCTTCTTGTAGCACCATTTGGATACAAGACTCTCTTCCGTTGCATAGAATCAAAAGACATGAAACAGCTTGCTCCTGCTCTGTTGTGTCACCCATGTCTAGCACTGTTGCTAGACTGCTGATCATGCCCTGTGATGATACAGCTCCATCTTTTCCCTCCTGGCTCGAAGCTAGATTTAGCAATACGGCTAATGACTTCTCTATCCACAAATTTTCACCTGTTGACGCGAGAAGGCCTTGGAGGCTCTTGATGATGTTAGATGAAAGGAGTGCAGAAATATTGGGAGAATATGTGGAAAGGTTGTATAGGGCATGAAGAGCATCAAGCTTGCATTGGTTTTCGGTTGTTCCCTGAAGAAGTTGCACAAGGAAAGGTACAGCTTGGCTTGCACCTATCACGGACTTTGCCTCATCTAGACAGGAAAGATTAAGATAAAGCGCGGTTGCTGGACCTTGGGATTCAGAAGAAGAGATCATTTTCTCTAGCAGCGGAATCACCCCAGAAGTTAACATCAATTCTTTGTTCCTGCAGGCCATGGAAAAGAAGAACACAAAAAGTAATGAGAAAGCCATAATCCGTTATTGTACTACCAACATTAACAGAACAGGAGGTATAACCTGTTATTGTTGACGGCTAAATTGAATAGAGCCATAGCTCCTCTATCCTGTGATACCACATTTTTTTCATCCACAGCTGATTCTAGGTACCGCAACAACGCTTCAACAAACCCGTTGGCTCCCATGAAGATCCTGGCCTCTTCATCATCCTTGAGCAATAGCCTGATCTTTTCTACAACCTTGCCTTTTTTATCCAAGTCCTTCTCCTCGTTTAAGATAGCCAATAAATCTTGATACCTTTCAAGTACATTTACATCAGAATCCTCATCATCATCAGACACAAAACTTTCTTCCGTGTTTTGTCGTTCGACTACAGTAGTACCATTCTCCTCCAAAGGAACAATTTTTATGCCTGCCAGTTTACACGAGCCTATACTATTGACTGACTTTGACTTGGTGGACTCAGAGTCAGAGAGAGCAAGTCTCCAGTAGTCGAGCTCTTGAGATTCCGGCGGTCCACTAGGGATTTGAGTTCCATTCTGTTCACACCAGCTCGCAATAAGACCTTTAACACAGTTATTGGGAGTCAAGGATAGATGTTGGAGCTGCTGTTGAGTCTTTGGGCAAGTATTATGCCCATCACTGAACCACTTCTCAATACAGACCCGTTCATATGTCTGCCCAGAAGCAATAATGACAGGATCACACATAAGTTGCAAAGATATGGGGCATCTCAGTTCTTCGGGTGGAACGGGCATCTGTCCTGATTTTATGCTGTTCATGGGCTTGTCGTTCAAAGAACCAAACCTAGACAGCTGGCGGCCAAACCCATGAACACTCCCACTATCCTCAGTAGGAGAACATGGATTTGAACTCTGAGAGTCATTCTCATCCAGAATTTCACTTCTGAATAGCTTGGAGCATTTTCTCATAAGATGCAAAAGATATGCCACAATTGATTCCTTACGCTTGTCTTCTTCAGCGCGTGCCCTGTCAACGAGTTTCTTTAAAGCCCGTCTTTCCGCCAGAGCCACTCTAGAAGAAGTGATACTGAGTCTAGCAGCTGCGCGGTGGAAAATTTCAAGCTCGGTGTTGTCATTACAGTTGTCAAATTTCTTCCCTTGTTGGAGCAGTGCAATAATCTGATCACCAACTTCCTTCTCTGATGGATCAAGTATGAACCTGGTGTTCTCTAGTTCACCAACAATCTCCAAAATCTGAAGAGATCATATATATAAACCATCAGACTTCTCAATTAGGACTAATCATAGAAAACTGTACACATCAGATCTCTATCTTCAACAAGCCAATAAAAACAAAAAAAAACCTGAAGAACATACTTATCAAGCAACAACAGGACGAACTAGACTTTAATCATCAGAAATGAGAGAATGTGCAGTGAACTGAATCAAACATTACCTGTGATCCAATTGAGCTAGGAACAATGTCTTCCACACGTTTAAGACCATCAATGAGAGCAATCTTTGCTTTCTCAAATTTCAAAAGAACAGCATCCCCTGTTATGGCCTGTTGCAAATTGTAGACAAATTAAAGACGCCAAACACACACAAAAAGAGAAAGCTTAAAGACTCGTCAAAAGAAAAAAGAAACTGACCAAGTAAAGTTTACTACACTCAGAACAGTGCTGAAGAATATTCTTTGCCTTCTCAAGTGCAATATGCAAAGAACACAAAGCCTGAATCCCTGATTTACTTCGAGGTCTTGCTCCTTCCAAGGAAGGAAAGATTGAGAGTACCTTACAAAGAACTCCTGATAGTTCTTTACACATATCTCCATGTAACTGCGTTTTCCATATAAACATAAGCTTATATCACAAAACTAACATCAAAGAACAAGAACATAAATCTCAAAAACACACAACCCTCTTAACATATTGAACTCAGATGATAGAAAAACTAATCCTTTAAGATTAACCCAATTACTTACTAATTGAATTGGAACAAGGTCTGCTAAATCAAAAATGCAAAATTTATCCCTATATCAAAATCAGGTAATGAAACCGAACCTTAGCATCGCTAGCCGCGAAAAGATTCTCTTCAAGCTCTGTCACATCCATTGATCCCCAACCTCACCGGACACAAACTCTAAACTACAGAACAAAACAAAATTCCCAATAAATTACTGAAAACAAATAAATAAATTGAATCATAAAACTACAAAATTGATTTAAATAGAAATTATACCTAGCTATGATCTCTTAACCCAGGAAACACACACAAAAAAAAAAAAAACATAAATTTTTTTTTATTCAGACATGGAAATTTGTTTTGCAATAACGGAAACTGAAACAGCTCCACAAAAACCGGAAAATTCTACGATTAATAGAAACGCGAAGAAGAAGAAGAAAAAGAAAACAAAAAGAGACAACTAAAAATAAAGCTGCGTAGAACACGTGTGGAACCAGCAACAACCAAAAATGGAAAAACAAAAAAAAACAATAAAGAAGACAACAGAAGAGATAAGATAGAAGTCAAAGTAAAAAAAACACAAGACATACCGGAGAAATTGAGACCAGCCACGGCGGCTTCATAAAACAAATTAGGGTTTTTGTTCTTGGCAACGATCCATAGGTTTTTGAGATAGAGCCAGAGTTAGAGAGAGAGAGAGAGAGATTGTGATATTTTTGGATTTGGAGTGGTGGTGGAAGTACTTAAGAATCTGTGTGTTAATTAAATTAATTTTAAGTTAAGAACGGCATTACCGTGACGTTAATTATTATTATAATTGGCAAATGAACGCTTCTCTTTAATAATTTAATTACTACTTTTAGGAAGTTTTCCAAAGACAATTGAGTTATGTAATTTGTACTAATTTGTAACTTTTATGACTAAAAGATTAATTTTGGGTTAGTTATTAGAAGTTAGACTTAGGAGTATTATTAATCAACTTTTTTTTAAAGAGTTTTATGGGTAACCTTTTTTTTGAGAAGAGATTAGTGCGTTATATGGTTGCAAAATAGTGCGTTTTTTTGGTTTTCCATCACATTGTTAGTGGGAACATGAACTAATTGTCAGTTAAATTATGACATTATGTTATCCCACTTGATCATTTTTTTAGCAATTTTTTATACCAAATAATCAAATTGAGTTTTTCTTTTCTTTCTAATTAAAAAACCCACTCGAAGATTTGCTTGTTCCATCCACCAGTTGGGTATATGCGCCTCTTTAATAATTCATTTCGTATGCTTCAGTTTTCTTAATTATATAGTTCAGTTTACATATACTTTATACTTATTAGAATGGAGTTAAATTATAAATTAAAATTAAATTATAATCTCTATTTAGCTTATAATGATCATGAAGTTTAATCAAAATTTCTCATATTTTTATCAGTGGTGGACATTTCGATTTTTTTTCTTCTTGCATTCGATTTGTAGTCATCAAATTCGTTCACCATCCTGAAAATTTTGACTAAGGATGGAAATATCGCATTTTAAAAATTTAAAAGAGAAATCCAAATAAAAGGGTTTGACCAATCCAGAGAGTCTGTGTCATACACAAACGCATGTTTATTCAATTTTTATTTTTATTCTTTTGTGATTTTTTTGGTTGTTGTTGTTGTTGTGAATTTGCATGTTATTGGTTCTTTTGTAATGAAAAATCAATATGATTGATTATCAATCTCATATTAAATCTTACACCAATTAGCTAGTTCGATTCGGAGAGTACTCACAAAAAAATAAAAAATAAATTCGTTACATCCTGGTCAATCAATACAAAGTATAGCTTTTGAACCTGATGATGAAAGACTTTTTGTCTTTATGAAATATATAATACTCTTTTAGTTTCTCGTTGCTATTTTGTTGTCTACCAGCTGTAGTAACTCGGAAACTTCAACGGACAAGACTATAGACTTCAAATTTGTCTCCAAGCGTACGTAAGCTTGAACTTGTGAGTTAGAGACTTTGATCACAAACAATATATATGTTTGTCCTATAATCCAATCTAGTTTCCAAAGTTTCAAAATTTTCTGTAAAGTATGTGGTCAAATAGTATGATCTTTCTCCATCTCTTTACTTTGTCTCTCTTGTTAGGACAATCATGGAGTGAAACAGATACGCTTCATCAAGGCCAGTACTTGAAAGATGGGCAAGAGCTCGTCTCTGCTTTCAAAATCTTCAAACTCAAGTTTTTCAACATGGAGGATTCAAGAAACTGGTATCTTGGGATTTGGTTCAACGATCTTTATCTTGATGTCCGGGACAGACCTGTCTGGATTGCTAACCGTAACAATCCAATCTCGGAACGCTCTGGTAGCCTCACAGTGGATTCTCTTGGCAGATTGAGGATTTTAAGAGGTTCATCAAACATGCTTGAGCTAAGCTCTACGGAAGCCACAAGAAACACAACTTTAAAGCTTTTGGATTCTGGAAACCTTCAGCTCCAAGAGATGGATGATTCTAATAGATCGGTGAAACGGGTTTTGTGGCAAAGTTTCGATTATCCAACAGATACCCTTCTTCCTGGGATGAAACTTGGTTTCGATGCCAAGACCGGGAAGAGATGGGAACTTACATCATGGTTAGGTGATACTTTACCATCTTCTGGGTCTTTTGTCTTTGGGATGGATGCTAATATCACAAACATATTGACCATCTTGTGGCGTGGGAATAGCACGTACTGGTCAAGTGGGCTATGGTTCAATGGTCGGTTCTCTGTAGAGGGATTAAACGAATGTGGTTTCCTCTTTTCCTACGTTTCAACCAAGAATGGACAATATTTTACGTATCTAGGTCATGATCAGAACGATGCCGAGACATTTTTCCCCACCATAATGATAAACCAACATGGCGATTTGCGTAGAGTTCATCAGCAACGTATAAGGCAAATTTCTAGGAATTCGAATTGTTTGGCTGCAGGTAACGTAGTCTCGGATAGGCCATATGGGTCTACTTCAGGTAACTTAACGTACCCTTTTTACTTTTTCTTCTAATGATGTTTTATTGTTGTTTAATTAACTTCATCAAAATCTATATTGGAGACTATAAGTTTTTTTTTTTGGAATACTGAAGATGTGGTAAGCAAAGAGAAGAAAAAGTTGGAAGCTTGGCATATTGTTCTGGCATCACTGTTCCTAATGGTACTTGTGATTTGGTTAATAATCTATCTTGTCTTGAGGAAATTTAAAGTTAAAGGTAGAATAACTGTTTCAGCATTACTCAAAAACACTTTTTATCCCTAATATTAATTAATTTTCTTACTAACAAGTTCACCTCTATTTTGTTTTTTAGCAAGTGCTATATTTCGTAGAGTATTCTACTTTCTATGGAGAGAAATCACTCCACAAGGTATGTCAAATTTTGTATAAGCATGTGTAAGAATTAGCCGTATTGAGCTGTTTTATGTGATTTTTTTGTTGTTTTAGTGATTGGTTTTATACAGAGAAGACTTTTATCGCTGAGGTTTGGTTCAACAATAGACCAAGAAATGCTACTACGTGAATTGGGAATTGATAGGAGACGCAAACACAAGAGAAGTGAAAGGAAGAATAATAACGAGCTTCAGATTTTTAGCTTTGAAAGTGTAGAACTGGCAACAGATTACTTCTCCGATGCAAACAAGCTTGGTGAAGGAGGTTTTGGTCCTGTCTATAAGGTACGTTGTCCATACATAGTTTCATATTAACTTAATAATATCCTCTCTTTTTTAAATGTTTCCACCACTTTCTTGAAGGGGAAGTTACTAAATGGTGAAGAAGTGGCTATCAAGAGACTATCTTTAGCATCTGGTCAAGGTTTATTGGAGTTCAAGAACGAAGCTATGCTTATTGCGAAACTTCAGCACACAAATCTTGTTCAGGTTCTAGGATGTTGTATCGAGAAGGATGAGAAAATGCTAATCTACGAGTACATGCCCAACAAGAGTCTTGATTACTTCCTTTTTGGTGAGCTTTCATTTAAACTTTTAAGAGTCTTTAGATATTATATTAATTCATCTGAAAAAAATGTCTACAATCTTTGCAAGATCCCTCGAGGAAAAACGTTTTGGATTGGACGATGCGGTTCAGAATCATGGAAGGAATCATTCAAGGGCTTTTGTACCTTCACAAGTACTCGAGATTGAAAGTGATACACAGAGACATCAAAGCCAGTAACATTTTGTTGGACGAGGATATGAATCCGAAGATATCGGATTTTGGAATGGCTCGGATATTTGGAGCTGAAGAAACCAGAGCCAATACTAAAAGAGTTGCTGGCACATTGTAAGTTAAAGAGTGACCAGAACACAAGAAAAGGATTCTTCTATTAGAGAATAAAGACTTTCTTGTGTTTGATATTATGTGTAGTGGCTATATGTCGCCGGAGTACTTTAGGGAAGGACTATTCTCGGCGAAATCAGATGTGTTCAGCTTTGGGGTTCTAATGCTCGAAATTATTTGTGGAAGGAAGAACAATAGCTTCCACCATGACTCAGAAGGACCTTTGAATCTCATAGTTCATGTAAAAGCTGAACTTCTTCTCTCTTTTGTTAACATTCTCATCTTGCTTAGTCTTTGGATCTTTGAAACTCTGTTTTCTAGGTGTGGAATATGTTTAAAGAGAACCGCATTGGCGAGATGATAGATCTGTCTTTGGGAGATTCCGCTCTTGATGAGCCTCAAGTGTTGAGATGCGTTCAAGTTGCTCTGTTGTGTGTACAAGAAAACCCTCAAGATAGACCAAATATGTTAGACGTTGTGCCCATGATATACGGCGAAGGCAACAATGCTCTTTCTTTGCCTAAAGAGCCTGCTTTCTATGATGGTCCCCGGAGAAGCTTTCCGGAGACAGAGGTTGAGCCACTAGAGCCGGAAAATGTATCGGTGAATAGAGTTACCATCACGGTGATGGAAGCAAGATGAAACTGAAAATAAGGATCAAGAAAATTGATGATAGTAAATGTGAATCTCATTACTTGAAATGCTTTACTTCGTTACACGGATCATGCATTTAGGAATTCGGATACATACACTTACTTACTCATGTATACATATTCTTCTCAACTTGACTCCAAAACACTTTATACACAATTTTTTAAAATTTTAAATTTTAAAAACCTTAAAGGTTCTACAAAAGATGGAGAATTAAGACCATCTCCAATGGTTTTTGCTATTTTTTCCTCTATTATAGAGGAACTCTATAATAGAGTTGACTTTTGCTCCAATGGTTTCCCCTATTTTTTCTTCTATAATAGAATATTCCAAATAGATTCTTTTAAAATTTTAATATTAACACCATCTCTTTATAAAAATTGCATATTAACCCATTTACTTTAACTTTTATAAAATTTTAATAAGACGATTATTTTTATTTAAATTAAATATTTATTATAAAAACATTATATTATATATTATGTTTAATTAAAAAATACATCACATTATATAAAAAAACAATAAGATACTACATTATTAACCATCAACTAATGCATTTCGAAGTGAGAAATGAGCTTCTTTATCTTTTATTTTTCTGAATCGACCTAGAAACTCTTGGAAACGAATATCATCATCTTCTGCTATTTGGACCGCTGGAGGTGGAACTTCTCTTTCAACTTCAATTGGTGCATCGAGATCACGCTCATCCTCAATTATCATATTATGTAAAATTATACATGTAGTCATTATGTCATGTAACACATTTTTTTCCCAAAAACGTGTTGGTCCTTTCAAAATAGCAAAACGAGATTGTAGTACTCCGAATGCGCGTTCCACATCAAAGACAACAACAATTGGAGATTCAAAGTAAAAATTATGCTTTGAAAGAGCAGAAGGAAGAAAACAAAATTTTATTTTGTGACTTGAATACCTTACATCCAAATGTTCGTGGATATTTTGAGGCGGAACAAGCACGAATTATACAAAAGCGGAATGATCAACAACAAAACCAACAAGCTCCTCCTCCATCTACTTCGTTTGGATCGTTTGGACAATACTTTAACGACATTGGTGGATCCGGAAGTAATTTAGGAGAATATTAAGTAATTTTTTGGTATTAAAAGTATTATTATGGAATAAATGAAAGAATAAAATATTTTTTCCTTCAATAAAAATAAAATCTATTATTTATATATATTAACTTTTACAAATGGTAGTCTCAAATTTTAAAATATATATTTATATTAAAACCTTTAAAATATTTTATATTATTATTAGTGATTAAATATATTTATTTTATTTATTTTATTTATTTTGGTCATAAATAAAAGAAGTTTGAGATTAAAAGGACTATTTTGCAAGAAAATAGTTCACCTCTATTTATAGAGGAAAAAATAGAGTTCCTCTATATATAGAGATAAAAATAGCAATCTCTATAATAGAGGTGGATATAGAGGTGGGTTGGAACAAAATTTGCTATAAAATAGAGTTTAGAGGAAGAAATAAAGGTGGGTTGGAGATGCTCTAAGGAACATATGCATGAAGAAAACATAAAGGAAATTGCATACTATGTACTCAGTTGACAACTTAATTAAGTATATATCATTCTTCTTTTCATAATTAGGTCTACTTTTTTGTGACAACTTTAGCCTCAGAGTATTTAGTTAGTTGATAACCGAATTAGCACAATAAATATAAACTTATAAATATATATATATATATATAATATGTTATCGTGATGATTCAGTTCAACAAATAATTACTAATAATATATGTGTCAATAGTTACCTATAATTAGAAATCAAAATATGTATACCTTTAATAAAACATGGTTAAATATATTTTTGAGGTTTAGATTTTATTATTAAAACAAAATTATATATCGGTTTGTGTTTATAAATGAGACTTGTGGTTTAGATTTTACAATTAAAACAAAATTATATGTCAGCTTGAGTTTATAAAGGAGTGGTTAAGGTTTAGATTTTACAATTAAAACAAAATTATATATCGGTTTGGGTTGATAAAGTAGTGGTTAGGGTTTAGATTTTACAATTAAAACGAAATTATATATCGGTTTGGGTTGATAAAATAGTGGTTATATGTGTACATATTTTGTTTCCATAATTTGTTTCGTTTTATGAATTTATTTTTTATTTATTTTAATTTTTGTCTGACATGGCATTATACTTCTTATTTTTATTGGTTAGAGTAATAAGAGGTGAACAATAAGTTTGACAGTAGGGTGAACTCAATAATTGCTCTATATAATATTACTTAACATGTTATTGCTATTTTTGACATTCAAAGTTATATAGTAGGTTTTAAAATGTAATTTACTATTATTTTGTATATGGTATAGTAATTGAGTTAACACGGTAAATATAAACTTATCACATAAATCATAAATTATCGCGGTACAAAACAATTTAACACGATATATTTATAAACCTATATGTATATATATATATATATATATATATATTGTTATCATGGTAATTCAATAGTTATTCATCTAACTTATAACATGATTTTACTTATGTATTTGAAGAACAGTATCGTCGATATTTATATCATTATCTCGCTAAATAATTTGTTAGATGCAAAATGATATTTTTGTCCACTTATACAAGTTAATGAGAGAGAACTAATTATACATTTATCAATGCTATATTCTTAATTTTGTAGTCAATTGAGTATAAAATTTTAATTTACCCAAACATAAAACATTGAGATTCATTACATTATATACCATATGCGCCGCAGCTTGAAGTGTCGTATTGTCTTCCATTCTCCATTTTTGTTGATGATGTAATTTAGTGTGACATACAATTTTTTTTAGGTATAACATAAAAAGTATAATGAGAAATTCTTGTATTTTTCAACAAGTCATGGGGAATTTTTCTGAAGTCCTTATCTCCGGTGATGATTATGACATTATGAGGCTTTCTACGCTTTCATGATCCCACCATATATTGCGCACTAGTTTGCACTGATCCACTTTAAAGTCGTAAATAAGGTACTATTATTATAGAACTCATCCACTTTAAATAAAGTCGTCAACAATATTTGATTCTTTAATCATTTTTTTCTTCACTTTGAAACAATTGCATTGTTCATATTAGATTTTATACTTGTAAGCTATCTCTTGAGCTTTTGGAGAAAAAAAGTTTGCATCACTCACGATTTTATATGTAAAAAGCCTTTCTTACTTAGTGAGAAATTTACTTTTTGTAATATTTAACTAAATATTAAAGTAACAAACAGATAAATTAATACATACTTAAACTATGATTTTGATTTTTGAACAAAGATGGTACAAGACAAGGTATGACAGCTAGTGTAAAGCAAATATAGGAGTATTTATTTTTTCATGAATTTTGATATTTTCTAATACTCTGCATCATTCTAAACCCCACACATAATAGTCTCAATTTGAAGTCTATAAACATAATTTTTTTAGATTAAGTAATGATTGAAATAAATTGATACTGTAGTTTGCTTAATTGAGTTTACAACGTAACTGCATATATTTCCTTTCTCTTTTTTTTTTTTTTTGTTATATATTTCCTTCCTTCTTTAACATCAACTGATCAAAGTAATCAAGATAGATCATCATAGAACATAAACATTAGATCATTTTTTTTAAAAAAACTAAACCAAATAGAATCTTTGATTTCATATACAATAGTTTTTTTTTTTTTTTTGGTGAACTTTGATTTCATATAGTTTAAGTAACATACACATCTAGAGAATGTTGATGCCTCTTTGCAAGGTATTGAAAACAATGCTGACTCCAAAACACTTTATACACAATTTTTCAAAAACTTAAATTTTTAAAACCTTAGAGCAACATTATAGGGAGTATGTTACTTAGGGTATGTTAGCATTAATTTAGTATTAAATTTGGAAAAGTAGAGTTTAAAAGTTTTAATTTTGTTTTTAGTTTTGAGATGTGTTTATTGGTAGGATCTTAAGTTGGGTATCTTAGATTTTTTTTTTAAATTAAATAAATTTATAATTTGTAATATAAGAAAATTAACTTGTGTTTTCCATGTATGGCTAATTTTATTTGGTTTTTTCTTAACATTAGAAAACTATAGTAATGTCATAATAAATGATTTAAAAAAATTTTTTTTTAAAAAAATTGTAATGTCATAATAAAAAAAAAAAAAAAAACTTGCCTAATCCGATTACGCCACGTGGCGTCTCTTAACCCATCAAAAGAATCATTATCCAACTTACGTATGTTAGAAATTTATTTTTTTGATTAAAACCCCTACATCCTCTTTAAAACCTACCGATAATGTTGGTCTTAGCTTCTTTCTAACCATTGGAGTATGTCTTTTCTAAAAAAAATCTTCATAAATATCTAAACTTTTGATTTTGCAAAATATGGATAAAAACCCTCGCTCTAATATGCTTCATAACTAATATATAGAGATTAATTACATTAGTTAATAAACATTAGGATTAACTTACTATTTTTTAAGGATAGATAACCATTGTTTTAAACAAACAAACCGAAATGAAAAATAAATAGTTCAAACCGACGAAAGGAAACAAAGACACAACCGAATATCATTGCCCACTCTCGATGCGGCCATGTCTCAGCCAGATGTTTAGGTTTCCCGTTGGTCACTTCAGTACTCTTTCTTGCAGGTTTGAGTTTTTCGAGCTCTAAGTCGAACTCGACGATTAGTAAGAAGACGTAAACGATTATGAAAACGAAAACCCGTCTGAAATGTTTTCCTCAAACGTTTGCTCTTACTTGGAAAATGTTCTAGCTACAAGATGTAAAGATGAAAACATAAGTATTTGGAAACGTGAAAACATAAATTTGTGGTGACTATAAATCTAAAGTTATCATTAAAGAGAACTTGCCTCTATCCCTCGTAGTCGCTCGTACTCGACTTCTTGTTTAAACTCAATAATTTCACCCTCCTGCTTGAAACAGGTTGTTTCACAAATGGTTGGACAATGAAACAATGTATTGATATAAGTAGAGAGAAAGATAGCTTACATCCAATGCATGTTGTTCACTTGAGAGATGCTTCCTGAAATCATCAAGGCTTTTGCAATCACAATCGCACGATTTGCAATAAAACATTCCGGTAGATTCTTCACCTTTTTCACTGCACTTTTGAAGAAGGTGTTTTCTTGTCTCTGAAAGTGTTAAAAAAAAAACACTAAGTAGAGCTCAGGCACAGCGTAATTAGGTAATGGATGATGAGAGGACAAAACAAAGACCTGCCAGTAAGCTGTCCCAGAGCCACTCTGCAGAGGTGACCAGGACTGACATTTGGTCAGGCCTATATGAATAAGCGAGAAAAAGGTTGTATATGGTCAGTTGTTGTGACCGGGCTAGAGCTACTGAGAAAGTAAGATGATCGGATATGACCATCAATGTAGCTGGAGGAGGATTTTGGTTTTGCCAATCAACCAAATCAAAGAAAATGTGCTTGGATGTGGCATCTGTTTCAATTCAATACAGGAAAAGTTATTTCACCAGGGACAGTTGAAATTATAATAAAACCTTAAATATTACAGAGATGATAACAAACTAACCGGAAATGTTATGTGCAATAGAGACTCCAGTGGAAGAGAGCCCTTGCAGGAGGTGATCAGGGGTTTTTGTTTGGTCGCCATAGCCAGTGATGGAGACAGGACCAGAGTAGCCTAGATTCTTGAACGCGGCTTCCAAACTCGGACGCACCCTGCGAGCATCGTACCCCTCAGGAATCGGACAGTCCTCCATGTCCCACCAAACCTCTATTTTAGATTTCCCGTATGCAGGCCTGGCAGGGTAGTTCTTTCCCCACGTCCTCGTTACAGGGTCAAGTTCTCGAGCACAAGGGTGTGTAATCTCCTGTGTGGAATAAAGATAAATATGTTGTTGTTGTTGCTGATCAAACAATTAGAAATGAAACAATATATATGCTTTACGTACGTACCCTCAGTGCATGCTCTCTACTCCAGAGATGCTTCTTGAATTTTTCCACGGTGTTGGTCTTGAAGAAATTGCACGATTTGCAATAAAAGAAAGCATGTGGTAGAAATTTATACGTTTCTCTGCAGATAATTGGTTCATCAGCGGGGTACCATTTTAGTAGTTTTTTCCAGGGCCACTCTTTACAAGTGACCAGGGGTGAATAATACTTAAAAACAGAACTGATCGAGTTAGCCACAAAGATGTTGTATGGGGACTGTTGTTGTAGCCGGGCCAGATCCCAAGCGAAGACATCATCCACCTGATTAGATATGAGCATCATTGTAGTCGAACAAGAGTTATGGTTTCGCCATATCAGCATATCCGCAAACATGTGTGCGCATTTGCATTCTATTGGAAAGATAGTTGAAATATTTGATTAGGGTAGGGATAGTTCAAACTTAATTAGAGAATTAATATTATAATTAGATAACAGTTAGACTAACCGGGAACGGTATGTGCAACACTGACTCCAGTGGAATAGAGCCCTTGTAAGAGATGAGCAGGGGTATGTTTCTGGTCGGCATAGCCAGTGATGAAGACAGGACCAGAGTAGCCTCGTTTCTTGAACGTCCATTCTAAACTCTGACGGACCCGACGAGGATCATAACCCTCGGGAACTGGACAGTCGTTCATGTCCCACCACACCGCTATTAGCGCTGTCGCGAATTCAGGCTCCGCCGCATTGTTCTCATCACACATATTCCTCTAAACCTAAACTAATCACAGCGCAGCGCAACTAAGTCCTCCATCTGTTTTTTAAAAGTATGATGTAGTGTATAAATTATATAAGAGATTAGGGCATGTGTGTCTTTCCTAAATCAAAACTAGGGAAACACCGTGCTTCGTTTATTAAACATGTGTTTTATTTATATACTAGAACATGTGTTTTTAACTTTTAACTTTGTATAAGAACATAACAATCAAAATATAACATAAACATTAGATCATTTAAAAAAAACTAAACCAAATAATATATTTGATTTCATATACAGTAAAACCTCTATAAATAAATAATGTTGGGACCATGAAAAAATCTATATAGAAGTTTTAATTTATCGATAAATTAATAATTATTAATTTATAGAGAGATTTTCCTAATTTTGAAAGTTTTTTCGAAAAATAAAATAAAAATAAGATTTATACATGATAATTGGTATTTTATATAACCAATTACAAAGAAAATAATAACAATAATGTCTTGAAAGAGAATACTAACAATTTTTTATATAGTAAAATATTAGAAATAAATTCTAACAAAAACTAATGTGTCTATATATACATATATTTTGAAAACTTTACCTAATTATTAATTTATACTATTGATGGAACCATATATTTACAAAAGATTTTCAACAAAAGTATTATCTTATTATTTTATCGAAATGTGTCTAAAATTACATTGGTCCCAAGTTGGGATCAGAGAAATTTATTAATTTATAGAGATTATTAATTTATCGAGTATTAATTTATAGAGGTTTTACTATAGTTTTTTTGGTGAACTTTGATTTCATATAGTTTAAGTAACAAACATATCTTTCAAAAAGAAAAACAGTATGCATGTTACGTAGGAAACCAGCTACGTACTAGTCTACTAGATGTTCTTTGGCTTCAGATTTAGAAATACATATACACCAGTCTCTTATTCATTGATTTATTCGTATAAAATTATGCTCATACCTCTCTTCTTCAAAAGACAGAATAATACAAAGACAGACCTAACGATTAAGATAATCGAAAAGAACATGACTTGGGTTCAAAGCAAAAAAAGGATTACGGTATCTTGAGAGTAACTCATCCAAATGGTGGAATCAATGAGTACGCATCATCATCTTCTTCCAATATATGCTGAACCCATCATTAAATAATCTTGGTGTAAAACCTGTAATATATAAATCCAAATCATCATTATAACTAGGAACCTATCTACTTATTTTGTTCTACTTTATTCTTTTTGACATATTGTGTGTGAGTGATAAAGGTTGGAGGAAAATATAAGAACAAAATAAAGAGAAATTTTTTTTGGCTATTTTTTTTTCTCCACCAAGAAGTTATGGACGTGAATTCCTAGTTCTTGAATTGATCACATGTTTAATTAGTTTCTGTTTTCCCTAAACTCAATGTTCTTGAATCAATCACATATATATGTGTTATGATTTCACACCGTACCAATAGAATATATATGTATGGGTAGTGCGTACGTGAGAGACGAAGTAGTTCGTTGGTCCATTCTACAAATTGAACTACCACATGACAAAAACACATACCAAAATGGTGTATTTTGCGTACATTGGTCGGGGAAAGACACATACGAAAATGGTTCAATTTATTGATCATGTGAATAGAATTAAAACTGAGCCAAGCCTGCCAAAACCAAGTAAATCCTCTAAGCATAGCAAAACATAAAATTTAAAGCCACTTTAATTCGAGACTAGCAACAATGATGGTAAAATAATTTAATTTCAGTAGATATATAACACTTACTTATAAAGTTGTAGAGAGAGTAGAAGACACATGATATAATTAATAAAAAATGAGTTAAGTAATCTCATTTTGAAAGTTGTCTCTCATCATAATTTCATATTAGATGAGATATTTCATGCTTTAGTTTGCTTCTAAGCGTGTTTTAATGATTATAAGGTGATATATTAACAACACAAACGCCAAATAGTATATTGAAGTTTAGTCGTTGTCATTTACTTGAAAATTCTTATTGATCACCCCCTTTATGATGTTTGTAATTTGTCAAAAGTGTTTGGTTAGAAAATAACAATCTTTGATTACTAGCTAATTAATTTTGTTTTTCTATATAAAAAACCGCATTATTTATTATATACTGTATAAAAGATCTATGATAGTATTGACTTTGAGTGTTTGAGAGAGCACCAAAGCACGTGTCAAAGGGCATGGATATATTTAGATCGGCGGCTAAGTGAAAAAAGGACAGTAACAGTTCCCAAGGAGTTACCACTACAGATACAATCTTTGTGTTCCGTACACCTTAATCCCTCTGTTTATTACCCTAATCTACGTTTGGATTTAGTTTAGTTAATCCATGTTTGTGAGGACCATTTAATTTTAATTAAATTGGTATCAATTAAATCCACATGTTATATGTTTACCCTTTCTTCCAAAAAGTCCCAAAATTACAATCTTCCCACTAGTGGTATAACATAAAAAGGGATAATTTTTAAAAAATATATAAAAAATGGTAAAGTAATATATGTATCAGTTAAAAACGATAAAATAAAAATATACAACAATTGAATTTTTTTATATTTAGCATCCGTTTTAGTATTGTTTTCATAATAGGTTACAGCAAAAATGGTATAATTCTAATACCATATCAATATTACCAAAAACATAAGGTTAAAATAAAAATTAGGGAAGTAATTAAATAATAATGACAATGAATAAATGTGATTGATTACAATATGATAAAAAAAGGGTATAACTAACATAAATAAATACCATCAAAAAACCCAACCAATCTCTCTCGTCTTTAACTCCTCACCCTCCTCCTCCTCCTCCTCCTTCTTCTTCAACTCTCTCTGTTAATTCCACACCATAGAAATGATCCTTCTCTTCTCACTTCTTCTCCATCTCCTTCTCAACACTTCTCCGTCACTATCTCTCTCCCCCGACGGTGTCGCCTTACTCTCACTCAAATCCGCCGTGGATCAATCTTCCTCATCCTCTTTCTCCGATTGGAACGACAACGACTCCGATCCTTGTCACTGGTCAGGTATCTCATGTATGAACATCTCAGACTCTTCAGTCTCCCGCGTTGTCGGAATCTCACTCGCCGGAAAACATCTACGTGGCTATATCCCTTCGGAGCTCGGGTCGCTTGTTTACCTCCGTCGTCTTAACCTCCATAACAATGAGCTTCACGGTTCGATTCCGACTCAGCTCTTTAACGCGACGTCGCTTCATAGTCTCTTTCTCTACGGGAATAATCTCTCCGGTGCTCTTCCTCCGTCGATCTGTAAACTCCCGAAGCTTCAGAACCTCGATTTGTCGAGCAATTCGCTCTCCGGAACACTTTCTCCTGATCTCAACAAGTGTAAACAGCTTCAGCGTTTGATCCTCGCCGCTAACAACTTTTCCGGTGAGATTCCTGGTGATATCTGGCCGGAATTGAAGAATTTAGCTCAGCTTGATCTCTCTGCTAATGGATTCACCGGAGAGATTCCTAAAGATCTCGGAGAGCTTAAGTCTCTCTCCGGTACTTTGAATCTCTCTTTCAACCAATTATCCGGCGAAATCCCTAAATCGTTGGGGAATTTGCCGGTTACGGTCTCTCTTGATCTCCGGAGCAACGATTTCTCCGGCGAGATTCCTCAGTCCGGTTCGTTCTCTAACCAAGGACCAACCGCATTTCTCAATAACCCGAAACTGTGTGGTTTCCCTCTCCAGAAATCTTGTAAAGATACTGATCAGAACTCGCCGCCGGGGACGAGGAAGTCGCCGGAGAATAATGCGGATTCGAGAAAAGGGTTAAGCACGGGGCTGATCGTGTTGATCTCGGTGGCTGATGCGGCGAGTGTAGCTTTAATAGGGCTTGTGATAGTTTACTTGTACTGGAAGAAAAAAGACTCTGAAGGAGGGTGTAGCTGCACAGGTAACGAGAAGCTCGGTGGTGGTGGTGGTTCGGAGAAAGGGAAGTCTTGTTGTTGCATGGCGGGGTTTCCGAAAGAAGACGATTCAGAAGCAGAGGAGAACGAGAGAGGTGAAGGGAAAGGAGGAGATGGAGAGCTTGTAGCGATTGATAAAGGGTTCTCGTTTGAGCTTGATGAGTTGTTGAGAGCTTCTGCTTATGTGTTGGGGAAGAGTGGGTTAGGGATTGTGTATAAGGTTGTGCTAGGGAACGGTGTTCCTGTGGCGGTGCGGCGACTTGGGGAAGGGGGAGAGCAGAGGTATAAGGAGTTTGTGGCTGAGGTTCAAGCTATGGGGAAAGTGAAACATCCTAATGTTGTGAAGCTAAGAGCTTATTATTGGGCTCCTGATGAGAAGCTTTTGATCAGTGACTTTGTTAACAATGGTAGTTTAGCTGATGCTCTCAGAGGTAAACCTTTTACTTCTCTCTTGTTCTATTGACTTTAGGTTTGACTTTGACTTTGTCAACGCTAGACAAGACATTAGTGAGATGAAAGGTTTAGATCTGAGATAGTTTTTGTAGGGTCTAAATCTTATTTTCATTGAGTGGCAAAGATTCCCTTATACTAATTCTTCTTCAAGCTTAGTACATTACATTTCAATATTCTATTGAGAACAATGATCAGTTAGCTGTTTGTTTTCTTATAAATTGGACCAAGATTTCTTTCCTTTTTAGGCATCTTTTGTTTGTTTTTTAGTTTAGACAAGTAACATGTAAAAGAGACATGTCTTGTAAGACAATTCTACATGCATGAATAATTAGTATTAGTACATGATTTAGTGTTGTGGTAAAGAGTCTTAGAGTAGAAGTAATTAGTAAAAAAACAGAGTGTGGAAACAATGATGAGAAAGGTTTACTTGTGGGCTACGAGTAATGATTTTATATATACCCACCCACTTCCCTGATCCTTTAGATGAGCCGTCCTTTTCTCATCGTAACTCATTATTTCTTTTTAATATCTGATAGTTGTTTTGTTTGTTTGTGTGTGTGTGTGTGAATAGGGAGGAACGGTCAACCATCACCGAGCCTAACATGGTCAACGCGACTAAAGATCGCAAAAGGAGCGGCGCGTGGTCTAGCTTATTTACATGAGTGTAGTCCAAGGAAGTTGGTGCACGGCGACGTCAAGCCTTCTAACATACTTCTTGATTCCTCATTTACTCCATTCGTTTCTGACTTCGGTCTCACTCGTCTAATCACGATCACGGCGGCTTCCGCCTCTTCCAACGAACCTTCTTCCTCCTCGGCTGGTGGATTTTTGGGAGGAGCTATACCTTACACTTCCATCAAACCATCGGATAGATCTAATGGCTATAAAGCACCTGAGGCACGACTACCTGGAGGCAGACCCACTCAGAAATGGGACGTTTATTCTTTTGGTGTTGTGCTTATGGAGCTTCTCACTGGGAAGTCTCCTGATTCGTCGCCGCCAAGCTCTTCTTCGTCGTCCACACTCGTTGTCGAGGTACCGGATTTGGTGAAGTGGGTGAGGAAAGGGTTTGAAGAGGAGACTCCCTTGTCGGACATGGTAGATCCAATGTTGCTTCAAGAAGTACACGCCAAGCAACAAGTCTTGTCAGTCTTTCATCTTGCTCTCGCTTGTACCGAAGGTGACCCGGAGGTCCGGCCACGTATGAAGAACGTCTCAGAGAACATTGACAAAATCTGATTCAATTATTATTTTTTTCTTTTTTCTTTTTGAAATCCCTTCGATAGTTTGTTCTTACACGAGGCCGTTACGTCACTCCCACGTCTAGGGACCAGTGGTCGATTTGTTTTTTTATTGAATAATTAATTATTTGTTATGAAAATTCAATTAAATGGGTAATACATTGGCTTTAAATGGCTTTTGTCTTTTAATTTTGTTGTCTTTACTCTTGCCTTTTAAAAAGCAACTCCCACTAAACGGGTTCCTAGTAACACATGTCTTGTCCTTCAGTTCCACTCCACAGTCGGATGTGATATCTTCCAAGAACCATTCACTTAAAATTTCGATTCTGATCGAGTTTTTTTTTTGTTTCAACCTTGATTTCACCTCAAGACATTCAAATCCTAATATTCATGTAAAATGGTTTTAGTTTTTTTGTTTGCCTTTTAACGGTCCTTTGAAGAGATCACGTACTTGTGTGACTGTGTCATTTGGTTCTTTGACAAAAAAAAAGTAGATTTGGGGTTTAGATTGGGTCAGAAAATTTTACATTTTCAAAAAAGCATAATGGATAATTAAAAATTTTAAGATTGGCCCACTAAATTACCAGGCCCACCAAATTAAACGCTGGTTGCTTTTATTCTGCTTTTTCACATTATGCACCGGCAACTTTTGACTGAGACCGGTTAAGTTGCCGGGATAACTCAGTCGGCGTCACGGCGAGGTGGAGTAGAAGAAAGTAAGAAACTAGACGAAAGGGAGAGAGCGATTCACTGAAGGTAACACGTCTTTATCTTGCTTCAGTTAATACTTGATTATAAATGTAAAACAAATTGAACCGAGCTATAACCGTTTGGTTTAATGATTTTAGAATTGAATTGTTCGGTTTGAGTTTTCGGTTTCCAGATTCTGCCCGGCCTTTTACTGGAGAGATTCCACGGCGAGTACTGGCGCCAAATCATAATTTCGCGGTTCCGTCAAAGTGTCGGCGAAGCAGCCATGGATGAGTCTCAGTCCGGTTCTAATGTTTTCAGTTTACGGATTGTTACGATCGATTATTACATGGCTTCTCCGATCCCTGGTTACGATATTTGCTACAGTAGCTTTCAAGGTAAGACAAAATCTCTCTTCCTTCGTATCTTCTAAAGCTTCGGCCTTTTTGAACCCAATGGTCTCATTTTCACTAGATAGGCACTTCTATGCTTCTTTTCTTGATTGGTTGACTTAGGTTTTGAGAAATTTTGACTATGGGGAGATGAAGAAGTAGTGCTCCATTTTCGTTAAATAGTCTTCTCATAGATAAAAAGGGAAAGTTTTTTTGACTTGTTACGAATTGATTTGTTTGCTGGGTATTTAAGGTGGTGAGGTAAACGAAGTCCCTGTTATAAGGATATATGGCTCTACACCTGCTGGTCAGAAGACTTGCTTGCACATTCATCGTGTAAGATTCTCAATTTTATTTTCTTGTATAAGAAAATAAGATTGTTTGGCAGGTGCTAAGACTGGACACTTTGTTTGTCTTGCAGGCTTTACCGTATCTCTATATTCCATTCTCTGAGATTCCACTTGAGCAGCGTAAAGGAGGTATGAAGCACACCCGCTTTATATCTCTACCGAGAAATGTAGCGCAGTTAGCTTTTCGAACACTAATAGCTTTGTTTCATACTTTTGTTTTTTTTTTGTTTCAGTTGATGGAAGTACACTTGCTGTATCCCTTGAGTTAGAGAAGGCTTTAAAGGTTTGTATTTTACATTCCTAGTGAGCCAGTCTGCCAGTGTTCTTAGTCTTGACTCTTGACTATAAACTGTTTGTGTATCTTTCTAAACTTTTTTGTTCCCCTATCTGTGTCTCAATCAATATTCCTCCCTGATGATACTAAATATCGACTTGTAGCTTAAGGGAACAGCTGCTTCAAAAAGGCAACATGTCCATGATTGTGAGATTGTTAGAGCCAAGAATTTTTATGGGTTCCATTCAACAGAGGAGGCCTTTGTGAAGATTTATCTGTATCCTGTATATTTATTTACTTTTGGTACAGTACCTTCTCTTAAGCAGTTTGTTATTTGTTTACCTTAACAGTATAATAGCTACCATCCACCCGATGTGGCTCGTGCTGCCAGTCTTCTTCTGGTACCATATCTTGATGATTGCACTTCACCAGTTTTCTTTAGTTTTGTATACTTTTGGTGAAGATAGTATACTGATAACCCTTTTTATATTTCTTTTGTAATGAGCGTTTGTTTGTCTATTTTTCTCTCTATAGGCAGGTGCTGTTCTTGGTAAAAGTTTGCAGCCTTACGAGTCTCATATTCCCTTTATTCTCCAGTTTCTGGTATTTTTCCGTTGTTGTTTATTCAAAAGAAATCGTTTTAGTGACAATGTATTCTGTTAAGTTTAGTAATTTCAGATAAGAACATACCTTCCAGATTGAGACTACACTAGGTACTTCCAGCATGAAAGTTGGTTATTTTTTAATCATCTCTGAATGTAAGCAATCCAAATTACAGTTATTGCTATGGATTATATACTATCACATTGTAATTAGAATTTTGGTACCTGCTAAAATAAATTGAAAAATGAAAATTATAATGTAGCTGGGAAATGCTTTTCTTATGTTGGTGGATTATATACCGGAAATACATCTTTGTATTTTGATATTACGGGATAATCATGTATATTCATGCTAATAAGTAATACTGATCCAACCACAACTATATATAATAATTTGAAAATCGTCGTCTGATTCCCTAAAGCCTTCATTACTTGTCAGTTTGCTCGGGAACCCATGCCAACCAAACCTTAGATACTAATGCTTAGTGTTCTCCTTCCCCTGTTCTATACTCCATGATATTTTGTCTGCAGTCCACTACTGAAGTTTCTGTGATTTTCTTCTATAGGTTGATTATAATTTATATGGAATGGGTCATGTGCATATATCAAAGATGAAGTTCCGTAGCCCAGTGCCTCGCCATTTCCTTCCAAGGAGATTTGATTTGGATGATTGTGCAGGGAAAAAGATTGACAAAGTGGCTATGACAAAGGTAGATCATCAAATACTTGAAACTGGAATATATTGTTTGGTAGTTTCTTTCTTCCTTTATTTCACAATACTTAAACATTATAACAGGCAAATTCAAGTGCTGCTGCAAGCGTCCGTTTTCCTGTTTGGAGCTTGTTAACAATCCCAGGTCAATGGATGTGGAATCTCTCTGAAGAATCTGATACACCGTTGAGCCAGAGCCAGCATAGGCAGTATTATAGACGTCAGAGTCTCTGTGAACTTGAGGGAGATGCTACTATTAGTGGTAAGTTCCTGAAACGAAATTTACTTTTTTTTTGTTTCATGTATGAACTGACCTTTGAACTAGTTTTTTCTCTTACAGATATTCTCAATCAACAGTTTAAAATGTACAACTCCCTTTCACAAGCTCAGTCTGATACGAACATGGTTCAGTCGCTTGTGGCAATTTGGGAGGTTCATTCTAACTTTCTTGGCTCTAATTTGAAATTATTTGGTTGGTATTACCTTTCTTAACCTCGTTACTGTTGTGTCAGGAGGAGTATGAAAGGACTGGCGTGCATGATGCACCTATACCTCCTGACCCCGGCAAACCCTCTGCAGCTGTTGTGTTGAAGACTATGTCAGATTATGTTGGGTTTGAGAACATGCTTAAAGAAATGCGTAATGAAGTTAATTTGTCTCCATCTGAGATGAATCCTACTGTAGTATCTTTAGCCGGTCCAGATATGGATGCCAAACCTGAAATTACTGATCTGCAGGTTTTGAATCATACGGTTGGTACACACAGTATCTTTTCTGCATCAGAACAGCTTTCTCCTCTTGGTGACAAGAGTGAAGAAGCATCAATGGAAAATGATGAATATATTAAAACACCCACGGACAGAGATACACCTGCTGAAATACAAGATTCTGAAGCCTTGAGTCTCTTTAAGTGGTTTGCCTCATCCCAGGCTGCAGAGGACATAAACTCTGATGATGAAATTCTCCGGGAAACTATCCTTAGTCCTCTTTTGCCTTTAGCGTCCATAAACAAGGCTCTTGAAATGGCTAGTACAGATTATGTGAGCCAATCCCAAAAGGAATGCCAAGATATTCTTGATTCTCAGGAGGATCTACCAGACTTTGGGAGTTCGACAAAAAGAGCTTTACCAAGTAATCCTGACAGCCAGAATCTTTTATCTTCATCAGACAAACCATCTCTTGAAACAGAAGATATTGCAGATATCTCCACTTCTAATGGAGAAAGCGAAAATTCATTTCAGAGATACAGAAAGAGTGATAAGGGTGATTTACATATGAGGAGCGTAATGGAGAATAAGAACTGCAGTTTCTCTAAGAGCAACAAGCCTAGCAACTCAGTATGGGGACCTTTACCTTTTACACTGACCAAAAATCTTCAGAAGGACTTCGATGGTACAAAAGATAGTGATAAAATTGGTCTAACAAAGATTAGTTCAGACCCCGTGAATGAGTTGACAGATAATTATAATGTTCCAGTCAAAGAACATCAAGCAGATGTTTGTAACACGATTGACAGAAACGACTTGGCTGGATGTTCTCTGCGGGATTTGATGAGAAAAAAGCGGTTATGCCATGGAGACTCGCCTGTTTCACAACATATGAAGTTTAGGAAGGTTCTACCACAGACCAGAGATTACCGACACGGAAAACAAAAGGAGTGCGCTTTGAGAGCTGAGGCCAAAAAACAAGGTCCTGCTCTTTCTGCAGAATTTAGTGAATTTGATTATGGCAATGCTCCTCCAACTTTATCTCCTATAGATGCTGGAAATTGCGAGTGTAATATATCCACTCAGTCATCTGAACTTCATTCTGTTGATAGATGTCCGGCTAAAGAGACAGCAGGTCAAAACAGTGATGAAGTTTCAAAGAATATTTCATCCACCACTGTTCCACTTGGTAAGGATCCACAAACAGTGGAATCAGGAACATTGGTTTCTAGCAATAAACTTGGTAAGATTAAATTAGATGTTATCCAAAAATCTGGGGGAGAGCAAAAGTCATCTGCCAATGGAATTGATGAGACGAGAAGATTAATATGCCTAACCTTAAGCAAGAAGCCTCCTTCTCCCGATTGCCTAGGTGCTGGACTGCAGGATTCTGCACATTCTCATGAAATTCCCGCTCAATTTCTTCATGCCAGGGGAAAACAGCATGTCGGACGTGGTACCTTTACTCATCTTTTTTTTTTGGTTCTAGTTTCTGCTATTTCTACAATTAATGAAAATGCGGTTGAAATATACATGTATAAATTTAAAGTTAGGTCAACCCAAGTTTTTGCAGAACTCTTCTCTGGCTGTGCTCCCTTTATTTATCTTTATAAGTTTCTGACCTGTTGTTTTTTTTGTTCTCTTTGAAGAGTGGAATACTAAGGAGATTCCATTTTTTCCCCGGAAGGACATCGAATTCGACAAGGATGAGAAGAAACACTTTTTCGAAGGACCTTCCCTTGGCATTCCCTTGCACCATCTCAATGACGGCTCAAACCTCTACTTACTGACCCCTGCTTTTTCACCCCCTCCTGTGGATTCTGTTTTACAATGGATATCGAATGAAAAAGGTATTGTAGGAAGGCACTATACTGCCTACTTAAACCCAAGTTTACATCTCCTCAGAGGTTCGATATACATTGCTTGAAGTGTTTTTCCTTGCAAAAGTGGTATTGTTCCTGATGAAGATTTTCATTACAGTGTTAGATGCTGTAAAGCAATTGAAAATGATAACTTTTAATCTATTTATTTTTTGATTTTTTTTTAGGTTCAGGAGACTATATATTTGATTCAGAAAATCAACTATTAGGAGATGAGCATATTGATCGTGGGGCGAGTTGTACTGATCTTGCTTCTGCATCTAATGTGATGTCTGTGTCTGAGCACATAAAGCAGCATAATAACATTTTTGTGAATTCAGAATCAAATACTTGTACAGAGTCTGAGTTAGATCTGAAACGAAAAGAAAATAGTCTTAACTTGCAGACTAGTGTTTCCCAAGAGATGTCTCAGATTTCAGGTCCTGATGGGAAATCAGGGCCCACTCCCTTAAGTCAAATTGGATTCCAAGATCCTGCGAGCATGGGGGCTGGGCAACAGCTTACAGTATTGAGTATTGAGGTGCTTTAACTTAACCCACTTCTTTATGAAGCTAATCAATTTGTAAAAGTCCTCAAATGGCCTTTGCACGCATAGATTAGGTTTATATACTGTGGAACCCTCATTTCGTGTAAAACAACTCACTGCGATGATGGAAACCTGAAAGCCTCTTGTTACAGTTTCCATTCCTCGAGTCTAACAGCGAGCTACCCAATGTTTTGTCTTCATTAGGATGATCTTGCAGTTACTTGAGTAATCATTTGTTCAATGCTTGAGGATACTTGGACTTAGAAAGTCAAATCAACTTGTTAAGGAGTTTTAGCCTCTAAAGCTTGCCATAGTATGATATGTTACTCATTTTATTTAGATTTAAGTGGAAATGCCCATTATATTTTGTTAATGCTGTTACCAAAAGGCTCTCCATAGTAAAGCTGAACTCCTTTAATTTAAGATGAGGAAAAGGTTCATTGATACATGTTAGTATATGTAAACTTACAGGTTCATGCAGAGTCTAGAGGGGACCTGCGACCTGATCCACGATTTGATTCTGTCAATGTCATAGCTCTTGTCGTGCAGAATGATGATAATTTTGCAAATGAAGTATTTGTGCTTTTATATAGTTCAGATAGCATTGATCAGAGGTATATACCAGATTCATTTATTTTGGATTCTTACAAATATTGCAGCTGACTTATTCGTGATATTATTATATCTGTACTTTGAACTTCAATCATTTTCTTACTCTGATATGGTTTTTCAATCTTATTATTATTATCTCACTACAGAAATGTTGATGGCCTATCTGGATGCAAGTTGTCTGTCTTTGTTGAAGAGAGGCAACTATTCAGTTATTTTATTGAGACTTTATGTAAATGGGATCCAGATATTCTACTGGGCTGGGATATACAGGGCGGATCCATTGGTTTTTTAGCTGAAAGGGCTGCACAGCTTGGTATAAGATTTCTCAATAAGATATCTAGGACGCCATCTCCCACCACGGCCAATGATTCAGATAATAAGAGAAACCTTGGTAATAATCTGCCGCCAGATCCGTTGGTAGCTGATCCTGCTCAAGTAGAAGAAGTGGTAATTGAGGATGAGTGGGGCCGTACACATGCTAGTGGTGTTCATGTTGGAGGTCGAATTGTTCTCAATGCATGGCGTTTGATTCGCGGGGAAGTTAAACTCAACATGTACACGGTTGAAGCTGTGTCAGAGGCTGTTCTGAGGCAAAAGATTCCATTAATACCCTTTAAAGTATTGACAGAATGGTTTTCAAGTGGTCCTGCCGGTGCAAGATATCGATGCATAGAATATTTTATTCGCCGAGCTAATTTGAACCTGGAGATTCTGAGCCAACTTGACATGGTATGTTATATTTTCAACTTGATTTACATAGTGAATTATGTGCAAGTCGTTTATTCTACTAGATCATTGCTTGCAGATAAATCGTACGTCAGAACTTGCACGTGTTTTTGGCATAGAATTTTTCTCAGTTCTCTCCCGAGGTTCCCAATACAGAGTGGAATCCATGCTTTTAAGATTAGCACATACTCAAAATTATCTTGCTATATCTCCAGGAAACCAACAGGTTTGTTTTCTGCTACTTCCAAGTGATTTACATTTAACGTTTCTTAGATTATCAACCAGTCATCGGGCCTTAAACGATGGCCTGGTCAACCCTCGTTTTGTTTATCGCCATGATAGCTTCCATAACAAATGCCTTGCAGTAAATTTTCATAAATTTTTCACTTTCCTTACTAATTAACATTCAACTAACTAAATCATGTAATTCTGTAGGTTGCTTCTCAGCCAGCTATGGAATGTGTACCTCTCGTGATGGAACCAGAGTCTGCCTTCTACGATGATCCTGTTATTGTGTTGGATTTTCAATCTCTTTACCCGTCAATGATTATAGCATATAATTTGTGCTTCTCTACATGTCTCGGAAAACTTGCACATTTGAAGATGAACACTCTTGGGGTCAGCTCATACTCTCTAGACCTTGATGTTATTCAGGATTTAAATCAGATCATGCAGACACCAAACAGTGTGATGTACGTGCCACCAGAGGTAATGTGCATTGGTTTTCTTGAGTAAATTATATCTTGAATCTAAATCATCATATTCAGGACAAACAGATGATCTTATTTTCCAAAAGCGTCATTGTTTCCATCGATCCTTTTCTTGATTATCTTAAACATAGTAGTCACCTTCTCTTTTTACATATAGGTGCGTAGAGGAATCTTACCAAGGCTGCTAGAGGAAATTCTATCTACAAGAATAATGGTGAAAAAAGCAATGAAAAAGTTGACTCCTTCAGAAGCAGTTCTTCACCGGGTATGGTTATCTTGATTAGAGTCCATTCCTATTTCTTTTACTAGGGATGGTTGGATGATGAGAGAGAGAGAGTGGCCCTAGTTTTTGGTGCCAGCAGAATATATACAATATTGATGGTATACGGTGTCTTCTTTCAGATATTTAATGCGAGGCAGCTTGCTTTAAAGCTGATAGCAAATGTGACTTATGGCTATACTGCTGCTGGCTTCAGTGGTCGAATGCCTTGTGCAGAGCTGGCAGATAGTATTGTTCAGTGTGGTCGTAGCACACTTGAGAACGCTATTTCGTTCGTCACTGCCAATGATAAGTGGAACGCTAGAGTTGTGTATGGTGACACTGATAGGTAATTTCCATATCTAGTCTACTCATCTGGATAAAGTTTACAACCATCTTTCGTGGCATTATTTTAACTTCCTACGAAAAAAGTAAAACCAGGGTTTCATGCTTGCATAAGTTAAAATATACTTGTAATTACTTCCTAGAGTTTATTATGGTCATATCAGCAGCCTCAGCAAATACGTATCGCAGTTTCTTTACTTGCTTCTTCCATGTGGCCTCATGCATTTTAATTACTTGTGTAGTATGTTTGTCCTCCTCAAAGGAAGAACTGTAAAAGAAGCTTTTTTAGTTGGACAAGAGATTGCGTCTGCAATAACTGAAATGAACCCACACCCAGTCACTTTAAAGATGGAGAAAGTCTATCACCCTTGTTTCCTTCTTACGAAGAAGCGCTATGTTGGGTACAGTTATGAAAGTCCCGATCAGAATGAGCCTATATTTGATGCAAAAGGTATTGAAACTGTCCGAAGAGACACTTGTGAAGCTGTTGCAAAAACTATGGAGCAATCGTTGAGACTCTATTTTGAAAAGAAGAACATCTCTAAGGTACAAATTGGATTTTTTGCGCTCTTTCATATTATCAGCTGAAACTGTAGTGGCTTACATCTACTTTTCTCTATTCCTTGTGCAGGTTAAGTCGTACTTGTATAGACAATGGAAGCGGATACTATCAGGGAGAGTGTCTCTCCAAGATTTTGTCTTTGCAAAAGAAGTTCGGTTGGGGACTTATAGCACAAGAGACTCTTCACTCCTTCCTCCAGCAGCTATTGTGGCAACCAAATCAATGAGAGCAGACCCTCGGACAGAGCCACGCTATGCTGAACGAGTGCCTTATGTTGTGATCCATGGGGAGCCAGGGGCTCGACTTGTTGATATGGTGGTGGACCCACTGGTTCTTTTAGACATCGATACACCCTACAGATTGAATGACTTATACTACATCAACAAACAAATTATACCAGCTTTGCAAAGGGTCTTTGGACTTGTGGGTGCAGACTTAAACCAGTGGTTTTTGGAGATGCCCCGTGCCACCAGAATTTCCCTTGGTCAACGTCCTTTAAACTCTAAAAACTCGCACAAAACTAGAATATATTATTTTTATCTCTCGAAACATTGCATCTTGTGTGGGGAAGTTGTTCAGGAATCTGCTCAGCTATGCAACCGGTGCCTCAAAAATAAAAGTGCTGCTACTGCAACCATGGTTTGGAAGACTTCAAAATTGGAGAGAGAGATGCAACACCTAGCCACGGTAAGTACTCCAAGAATCTAACATTTAGATGACATGTTTACAGATCGAGGTATCGTTTGCAACCATGATCTTTAGAGTCTTTACTTTCCAAGAGATGGGTGACGTGAATCATGCTTCATTAGAAACTTGTATACTTTCTGACGTTAGCTCTTGTAATCAACGTTGGACACTTTTGAGTGCGCGAACAGAGGGTTTCATCTCATGGTAGTTGCAGCATACTTAATGCTGAAGAGTGGCGACTTAATTTCAGTTTATCTCTGTATTATTGTATTTGCAGATATGCAGACACTGTGGTGGGGGAGACTGGGTGGTGCAATCCGGAGTGAAATGCAATTCCCTCGCTTGCTCAGTCTTTTACGAGAGACGGAAAGTTCAGAAAGAGCTTCGTGGCCTCGCCTCCATTGCTACAGAGAGTGACCTTTACCCTAAATGCATGGCTGAGTGGTTCTAACCTTATCAACAAATCAATCCAAAAACCAGTAATCAAACTCTCTATCCCATACTGTCTTCCACTCAAACTGAACGCATACCATCTCATCCTATTAAACAACGATGTGTATTTTGTATTTGCAGGATCATGAACAAACAGCATGGTGTCTATGTTTTATATGGTTGTGATCAAAGAACATTGTGAATATATGTGTTGTAGTATAGTTCAGCCACTAACCATTGTGTAAGGTGTAAGTCTTAGCACAGCTGAGTATATATAAGCAATTATATCTTTGTGTTCATAACCATGTGTTTCAAACCAGAGTCCATAACTTTAAAAATCTCCACTTTTTCAGTACTGTTCATATGTAACTACTAACTACAAATTAGCTAGCACACACATTTAAGGTGTTAAAACCTAAATTAAAAAAAAAATCGCATAGAAACCTTCTTTTTTTTTTTTTTTTTTTTTTTTTCTCTATTGGTCAAAGTCAACTCTCTCTACCTTCACTTCCAGTGATCATGGCAAATCGCCAAATCCAATCAACGTGACCACATTCTACAATTACACATTCATAGTTTCGATTTCAATTTCCGAGAAGTTTCCGTCGCCAAATACTCCGACCATGACCGGAACAAGCCGTCGGAGCGCGCGTGGTCGAATCAAATCATCATCATCTCCCAGCGGCGATGAAGGAAGCGATTCGCTTCGTTATCCTCCGACCATCCGCCGAGGCAGAGGCAAAGAGCTTGTGTCGATCGGTGCTTTTAAGACCAATCTCAAGATATTGGTTGCGTTAATCATTTTGGGGATTATAGTCATCTACTTCGTCGTCAATCAGCTCGTCAGCCATGGATTGTTGTATGATGAGTCTCAGAAGCCTAGGGTTATCACTCCTTTTCCTGCTCCGAAGCTCATGGATTTGTCTATGGTACAATAATCTTATTATAGTCTCGATTCGTTTTGTTTAGCTTTTTCGTTGTTGTTCTTGTGAGAAAAATTGAATTTGAAAGATTTGTATCTGTATATGTATCAGTTTCAGGGAGAGCACAAAGAGAGCTTGTACTGGGGAACTTATCGTCCTCATGTTTATTTTGGAGTTCGAGCGAGGTATGTTTATTCTTGTATCATGTGAAATTGGAATCCTTTTTGTACAAAGCAAATATGGTGTACATGGTTAATGCAGAACTCCACAGTCCTTGGTAGCTGGTTTGATGTGGCTTGGTGTCAAAGACGAAATGTATGTTATGCGGCATTTCTGTGAAAACTCTGATGATCTAAGTACATTTGGCTGGAGAGAACATAATGGACGGGATTTTGGGCGGCAAGAGCTGGTTGAAAACGATATGATATTAGAGACGAGTTTTGTCAAGTCAAAGGAAGGCAGCCTTGGTTATGGTGGGGATTGGGCAGTTCGGATTGATGTAAAAGATAAAGGGTAATTGCTGAGATATACTAGAACTATATTTTTGTTCACGCTGTGTGCTTTTGTTATTTTGGCTTATAGATAATATTGAACTAGGTTTTGTTTTTTCCTTGACCATACTGGGATTAAACTAGGTTGAATGATGGTGCAAAAAGAAGCGCACATCTCTTCTTTTATTTAGCTGATGAAGGTGGCAATGTTCTAAATTTAGGCCAAGATAATTTATATTTTCAAGGGAGCTCTCTCCTGGTTTCGGGTTCACGTGAAGATGTAGGAGACTGGCAGATACACCTAAAATCACAGGTATTTTCTGATTTAATGTGCTCGATATAATTCCTAGGATTTTTATAGCTGTCTCTGCTGGAAGTGGATCTGTGGGTGGTTTGACATTTTTATGTTTCATATGTCATTCATTGATGCTCATATGTATATAACCATTTTAATTGCTCTTTCATTTGCAGAATCAGCTCGAGACACATTATTCTGGTTTCAAGACGCCTCACATATATAATTTGTCTGATCTAGTTCAGCAAAATCTTGCTCTGCAGGTCTAATAATTTCCAGCTTATAATTCATTATGAAAGAGCCCAATGTTTTTTTTTTATAAGACAACATGCTTACATGTATCCTGACTTGTATGTTTTCAGGCAAGGAAGTTTGGACGACTTCAGCTCTCTGACACATCAGAGGACTCTTCTAACATTTACATCTTTCAGGTAATCAGTCTTGGGAATTACCTGAAAGATGTGTGCATGTGTATTGTTGTATAAATATATTGCATGTTCTGCACTCTTGGTATCTATGATCAAATGTTTCACTGTGTCCAATGACAACATATCCGTTTTCATACAGATTTCTGGGAGGCTGCCATTTACGATTGATATACCCTTTGTCTCTGGGATCAAAGGAGAAAATTCCAACGTGGAAAAGCGTTTATCAAGTCTCACAGGTTTCTTCAGCCTCTTGTTATTACCTATCATCATCAATGATGAATTTGAATTTTCTTAACCTTAGTTTGTGTATGTGACTTGCATTTGAGTTGTAAGATCTTCACATCTGGTAATGAGTTTGTTACGGCTACCTTTGCTATCGAGTTTCATAGCTCAGATAAATAATACTTATCTAAAATTTATGTCTGGTTTATGTGTTTACTAAGGGTCCCTCCAACCTGATAAAAAACACTAGCTTATTATTCTGTAGCTTTGTTAGGAATACTAATTATATTTTTCTGTTATGTTTCAATTCAGTAGAGCTACCATTTAAGAAAATTTTCTGTGACAACATAGGCTTAGTTTTTATATCGTTGTTGTTGTCTACTTGTACTGTATGTGTGCTAAGTTTCAGTTATGTTCCATGTAGGTTTGCCACTTTCGGATCTACTTAAAAAGAAACATAGAGAATTTGATACAAAGTTTGAGGAATGCTTCAACCTTTCCGAAAAGGTATGCTTAAGATTTCTTTTTATTTATTTAAAATCAATAGACTTTAATTTCCCATGTTAATAGATGATCTTGTTGTAGTTTAAAATAATCCCATGAAAAGGTTGTCTGGATTTGAATTCGAGAACAGAGACTGCTGAACGTTTGCTGTATTCTCTTTAGCAATTTCAGTCTCCACTTAAGAAAAATCTCCTTCTACTAGGATAGTTCTTCTCTCTGCGGTTCTGTTTTTCAATGGCGAGCATATGTTGCTAGCTCCTATTTGTCATAACGTCACATAGTCGATAATTTGCATCTATCCAAATTATTGTTCATAGAAAAGATGAGGATCTCATTCTCAGTTTCTTGTGGTTCTAGCATGATTCAGAAACATTGGGAGTTGGCAAGACTGCAATTGCAAACATGCTTGGTGGCATTGGTTACTTTTATGGTCAATCAAAAATATATGTTCCTAAAAGTACTCAGGCGAGTTTATTTGCATCCTGCGTCTTGGTTATTAATATTTATATCCTTTTATGTTCTTCCCATCTGCAAAGTAGCTTGGACCTCTCACAGAATCATACAACTTAATACCTTCTATTGCAGCCTGAAAGTCAGAATAATTTCTTGCTGTATTGGCCAGCTGAGCTATACACAGCTGTTCCAAGCCGGCCCTTTTTTCCTAGGGGGTTTTTGTGGGACGAAGGATTCCATCAATTGTTGATCTGGTTCGTTCTTACTGATCATTCATCTGCTGAAGATTCTAATTTGATTTTTTCTTAAATGGAATTTCTGAAAGCCACTTTTGTTTGGTACAATATTATTACAGAGTTACAAGCTATAATCATCCCACTAGTTGATCGTTCTTTGGACTGTGTTGTGTGTGCTTTGATCAGGCGCTGGGATTTTCGAATAACCTTGGATATTGTTGGACACTGGTTAGACCTATTAAACATAGATGGATGGATTCCACGTGAGCAAATTTTGGGTGCTGAAGCTCTGAGGTATTTACAATCTCTCCTGATAGTCATAGTTTTTGCTGTAATGGTTTTTGAGAGTTTCTTTAACTGCAGTAAGGTTCCAGAGGAATTTGTAGTTCAGTACCCGAGTAATGGCAATCCACCAACACTTTTTTTGGTGATACGAGGTAAAGTCATTGTACTTATACTTCTAGTACGATTCCTCTTTTGTCATCGCTCTCATTTTTTGTTTCATGTAAGCCCTTGGGAGTTGGGCCATACAAATAAGTTTATGCTAATGCCAATCCTTGACCAGCATTTGTTAAAGGATAGGGAATCAGAATTACTGTTATCAGCTTCCTTCTGTTTGTTTAACTAATATTTCTGTTCCTATTACAGTTAGATGTTGATAAGTTTGTAGCCAAGATCATAAGAATACTTTCACCTTGCTACACATCTTGCGGATTATAAATGTGGCATGTTCATGTAAAGATAGGAAGAAAGGTTTCACAACTAATTCAGTTCCATATGGTGACAATCCATTTTTCCAGATCTAATAGATGCTATAAGGATGGAAAAGTTTATCGCATCAGAAAGGGATGAAGTATTGTCATTCCTTGAGCGGGCTTCTGTACGCTTAGATGCATGGTTTCAGTGGTTTAATACTTCCCAGACAGGTAACAACATGGTTATTCTCTAGTTTATAGATTTACAGAATCCTTCAGTGCTCAACTACTCTGTGTCTTAGAGTTTGTAGTATTTTTAACTAATCACAGTTGGATCCCTGGTTGTTAATCTAGATCACTAGATAAGACGAGTACTTATATTTAACTGGTACTATAGTCTTAATATACTTATAATGGACTAGTTCATATATTTTATTTTTACTTGATTAAACACTAGGCAAGGAGATAGGAAGCTACTTTTGGCATGGCAGAGACAACAAAACGACTCGAGAACTTAACCCTAAGGTACTATTTATTGGTTTCTCATGAATTTGATATCATAGACTGCACGTCTCAAGTGTAAAGTTATAAGGGTTTCTCTGACGTTTGCTGGTTCCATGGCCTCTTTATTTATTTATTCAATGTATGATAACAGTGATTGAAGAACTTTTTTCTGTGGTTTATGCTTGTTAATGACAAGATTTCTCAGAATTTTTGGGTGTGTGTAGGCGACCTATATTTTGTCAGTTGTGTATATGCGGATATGGTAGTTCAATTCATAGATCCTTGGGGATAAATCTGATGTCTTATATATCCTGCAGACGCTTTCGTCGGGGCTGGATGATTACCCTCGCGCTTCACACCCAAGTGAAGATGAGCGACACGTTGATCTTAGATGCTGGATGTACCTTGCTGCAGATTGCATGCATTCCATCACAGAGTTTTTAGGAATAGAAGATAAACTTTCAAAGGTTAGCACAAGATGGGAAGGAAATGGGTGTCTCTCCTATTTTTGTTCACAAGTTAGTATGTTACTGACATAAAAGTCAAATCCTGCAGGAGGATTACAATTCAACTGCCAAATTGCTTTCAAACTTCAATCTTCTGAATCAAGTATATCCTCTATCAGAAGTCAACTATTTTCTCAGTTCCATTAACTTTGACGTTGTTCTATATATATAATTTCAGTATTAAAAACATGATTTCTCTCTTAAACGAGTATCACATTAACTTTTTCTTCTCACCATTCCTTTTCTCATTCATGGTTAATTTTTGTGCAGATGCACTATGATAGTGACCATGGGGCTTACTTTGACTTTGGTAATCATACAGAGAAAGTAAGGCTTCATAAATTTAAGTTTGAGTGTCATTTTTTTCATATAGAAGAAGAACCTAAGATTCTTACTCTTTTCGTTGAACCACATGTTCGGTGATTGATCCCCAGGTTAAGTTGATATGGAAAGAGGTAATTCAAGAAAATGGTCAATTATCTCGACAGCTTGTAAGGAAGACGTATGGGAAGCCAAAGCTAAAATTGGTTCCTCACGTGGGATATGTCAGCTTCTTTCCCTTCATGTCTAGAATCATCCCACCTGTGAGTGTTTGGCTAATATTTTTTCCACTATCGATAATCTTGAAACCCTTACGGATCAGTTATTTCTTGATCTAAATTGTCACATACTTTTGGTCGATAAAGGATTCTCCAATCCTTGAGAAACAGCTCGATCTCATTTCAAATAGGAGCATCTTATGGAGTGACTATGGGCTAGTTTCACTTGCCAAAACCAGGTAAGTCCACAAGAATGAACATAAACATACTCATAAAATTTATTCTTCAATGATAAGAAAGAACTTCTTTTTTCATGCAGTTCTATATATATGAAACGAAACACCGAGCATGATGCACCATACTGGAGAGGTCCTATCTGGATGAACATGAATTACATGATTCTTTCATCTCTGCACCACTACTCTAAAGGTACTTTTCTACCCTCCACATGGTGTAAAGAACAGCAACATAGTGCCTACTCTTTATTACATCATAAGCATGCGGTTTACCATGTGTCAAATTTCCTGCAGTGGATGGGCCATATAGCGAGAAGGCAAGGGCAATTTACACAGAACTAAGGAGCAATTTGATAAGGTATATTGTACATGGTATCTGCGATAGAGGTCTTGTTTGACATTAACTTTTTACATGTCGTAAAATACAGGAACGTGGTTGGAAACTATTACAAAACAGGTTACATCTGGGAACAATATGATCAAGTTAAGGGAACAGGCAAAGGCACACGACTCTTCACCGGCTGGTCTGCACTTACCGTGTTAATTATGTCCGAAGATTATCCTATTTTTTAGAATCTCTTCGGGAACGAACTTAAAATTACAAACATGTACTATTGAGTTAGAAGATCAGTTTTGATGTAGGGAATTTTGGTATCTGCCATGGTGGTTATAGTAGTGTTGTAGATCTAACTCTGGTCGAGGTATATGTTCCAGAGTTTTGTACGTTATCCCCAAATTACTATAAGGTGTTACTGTTAGAAGTTATATACTATAAGCTCTAGCTTCTCTGCACATCACCAAATATAACGCTAATTGCATCAAACAAATCCCAAACTAAACCAAACAACCACTTGAACAGGAGAGAGATCCTTGACTGGTCTCATTGCATTAAATAATTACTACAGGGAACAATGGCTCCCTTCACAAATATCAAAAGAGAGTTTGGAATTTTTCATTTATTGTTTGGTCAAAAGAGTTTGGAATATTCATATACATGCTTTTTTAGCCATTGTTGACCTAACAAGTACCACTTGAAGAGTTTGGTATCCATGACTTGTAAAAAATCACATTATATTACATGCATGAGCCAAACCACCTAGTAAATATCCTAAACTCTATCTATATTATATACAACACTCGTATTAAGTTAGAGACTCATTAGTCATAACGTTTTCTTTTTCGGAACTTTCAATTTCTTGAGAGGAGAACAAAGTGCAGTTTTATAAAATGTTTTATTTTGCAAGCAAATGAGAGATTTTTCTGATTGCTGCTGTTGCAAACGGATTCACTCTGTCGTTGATGATGTATGTCGATTTGATAGACACTTTAAGCACCACAGATCCAGGAAACATGGTTCAAGAATTTTCAGAGGTTAGGGTTCTAGATTCTTATACAGCTTTTGTTTATTGTCTTCATTAATTCCTTTGCTGACACGAAATATATATACTAAGAGATTGATGGATTTGATGCACACAGGTTGGGACATTCATACACCTGGCAGCAACCTTCTTGTAGAAGATTCACGTTTGACTTTATAAGAGGTCTGCAATTAGCGTTTGGTTGCATCACCTTCTCAGACTGATGTTTTAGCATTGGTTCTTTGAGGTTTTCCAAGCTCATAGTTGAAAAGAACACAAAACTTTCCTTTCTACTATTGTTGTCACTCACTCATGTGGGCACAAAGAGTACGTATCATATGAACATTCTTGCAGTCTTTACGAGCTTCTCATAGTTCCCTTCTCGGCAATAACGTTGTTTTGCAAAATTGTGATGGTCCTGAACCGGTGCGCCTGTGATAATATTATGGACTCATCGGCTCAGGACGATCGCGGTTGTGCAAAATGGCCTTATTGCAGAGAAGGGAATGCATGAGAAGCTCGTAAAGATTGCAAGAATGTTCTTATGGTACGTACTCTTTGTGCTCACATGAATGAGTGATAACCATAGCTCAAACCAGTATGTGTTTTTGTTTGGAATCCTTGTATCACCTAATCTTTGTAACTATTGGATTCAAAAAAGTATGAACAAGAGAGAAGTTGCTAGTTAAAACTTAAAAGTCTCTGTGGCTTCTCAATGTAAGCCATTGTAAAACCAAATCAGCTTTGCCTTTGCCAACGAAACGCGAATTGCATTTAAACAAACTCCAAATGAAATCAATCAAAACGCATATGTTACAAGAAACAAACTGAGGAGAAATTACAACAACACTGAAACAGAACACTCTCCACTTTATTAAATCAGTGTTTATCATTATCAACTTAAAAGAGACAATGCTCTCTTTGCTTTTGGATCATATGAAGAAATGTAACCAACACAATGGCATCACTAAAGTTCATCAATCAGGCTGTGATTGTGACGCTGCATACGCACGAACCAGACAATTTTAACTCAGATGTTTTCCACTGTGTGCCTGCTGCAGCATTCGGGTCATATAGTAGAGTGTTGTGACCTGTTCCTTCCTGAGATGAAAATAGCAGAAGCTTCCCACTCAGCTTACCGAACTGAAACCCGGTCCTCGAGCTTCCTGATAGTGGAAGAGACACCACTTCCCAGGTCTCATCTTCTGCATTGAACACTGACATCTTCCTTTGGTTCTTCCAGTCAATACAGAACAGCTTTTTTCCTACTTCAACATGAGCTGTGACCATCTGCAAGAGAACATATCAAGCAGTCAGATTTTAAAACCAGAGATCTATGAGAATCAAGAAGCCAACATTAGACTCTCATACTCAATGATCATGACTCAAAAGAGACTTACAGTTAAACCGTTTTTGCTGCCATGCCAGGAGCCACATTGAGTGTTGTACACATCAAGAAGTTTTGAGTTACCAATTGTGAAGTTGGATCTCCCACCCATCACGTAAAGCTTCCCGTTGAATCCGCTAGCGAAACAACCCCATCTAGGACGCCTCAGAGACTCTATGAATGTCCACTTGCCCGTCTCAGGATCATACACCTCTGCACTAGACAGACTATCACCGTCTAACCCGTGACCTCCCACCACATAAATAAGTCCATTCACCTCAGCGCAAGCGAAATCATATCGCGCTACCTCCAGGTCTGCTAGTCTACTCCAGCTGATTTCATTTCAAGAATATAACAAAAATCCACTCAATCATTGGATCAAAGCTCACAAAGGAAACTGAAATCAAGAAAATAAAAAAAGCTTACAAACCAACCTGTTGAGGCAAGTATCATACTGATAAACATCAGCAGATGCAACAAGAGAACCATTGATCATAGAACAACCAGCAATAACAAGAAGTTTCCCATCAACCACAACAACCTTAAACCCTGTTTTTACAGGACCAGGCATTGGTGGAAGAGATGATAGCTTCTGTCCCAAACAGTCCATCACCTCCCACTGGCTATCATTCCCTCCAGCATTCGTCGTTAAGACATATAGCCACTCCTCAACCATACCAGCAAGTCTTCTCACTGTAATAAACTCTTTGCTCTGAACAACAAACCTCCATTTCTTGCATACACTTCCCATAGAAGGGAACCTAGCACGCGGGACAAGCGCCAAACACTGCTTGGCAACATCATCAGGCAATCCAGGGATCAAAGGATCATCCATGAAGTTCTCAGACAACCGTGAACCGATATCAAGATTCCCTTTCGAGTAACACATTCCGTGATTCACAATCCTTTTCTTCCCACTTAAAGCAAACGCTTGCATCTTTCCACTAATCTTCTTGAACAGAGAGAGATAGCTAAATCTCCCTTTCTCAAGAAAAATTCTCTAAACTAAGATTTACGTGTTTTGTGTATGGAAAATGTTACTAAAGAGTTTCGTGAAACCCGTTACGTATAGTGATTTTCAAAGACAAAGGAATAAACAATGTAGCGGAGAAGAATGAGATTGCAGTGACCACTTCTTGATGTCCAACACAATCTAATTCATGTTCCATACCAATGGCTTTGCTTCTACAAATGTTAGTAGTTAAATTAATGTTGTTTCTTCTCACAAACATCTCTGTATCTGCCAAACAAAAAAAAACAAGATCACAAGATTTGTCGTCAACAACAAGATTCTTCCAAAAGAGATGTTTCTCTTTTAGGAATCAAGAAGAGATGTTACCATTAAAGGTCATGCTAGAGAAGAAGATTCATCAGCCACCCACAACATCCATCTTTAGAAGTAATGAATTTTTCTGCAAAATTTAATTTTTTTTGTCAGATTCAAGTCAACTCTTGAACTTAGTCAAGAACCAATAAGATCACAATCAAACAAAGAGATAAGAAAGCTCAAGCTAGAAAAAAAGAATAATTTAGCATGTTTCAAGAATCATATACCACACATAAACAAGAATACAAAACATTAAAAATCGAATGGTTATAAATTATTTCCTAAAAAAGCAAAACATTATCAAGAAAATCTGAAAAAGTTGAATTTCTCATATCAAGAAAACGTCCTACGACCAAACTTAATAGTTTCAAGAATTGGCCAAAGATCTCAAAAGAAACATTTCAAGAAAACATCAAGAATCCAAATTGCAGAGAAATAAGGGAAACAAGTAGGAATCAATGGAGACCTTGAAGAGGGATGATCTTGTTTTATCAAGAAGTGCGAGAAACTTAAGAAGGGAAGAATCTAATTAATCCAAATGGCTAAAGTAGACATTTTTATACAGAAGAGAGGAAAGAAAAGAGATAAAGATGAGGAGGAGGTACCAAGAGAATAGGGAGCTTTTGTCGGTTTTTGGGTCTATTTTGCGTTGAAGTTGGTGCAGAGGAGATAACATTGACAGAGAAAGACAGAGAGAGAGAGATCTCTAATAATGGTAATGGAGAGGAATTGAAGGGAGCGTCAGATTCAGGATTTATATTTACGGTGGAATTGGATCACCGTGCGTAGAGATAATAATGTCAACTAGTCACCACGTCACTGACCCATCATCTTATAAATATATATATATATGCTCAGAAGACATGTTTTTTTTTTATTGAGACTACCAAGAAAACAAGACATGTTTTGATACAGAATATAATATAATATTTATAATTAAGTAATGAAATTAATATACTTTTTAAACTCTTTTTGGTTAATGAAAATATCCTTAAAGTTACTAAACGCTTGTTGAATAATAATCTCAACGATAATGTTACACAAATACACACAATAACAATGGGTTCGAATTCTACTTATACCACATGTTTTTTTTTGGGTCAATTCGTAGAATAACATGTAAGAAGAGTCAAATTAGGAAACTGTAAAAGAAAAGAATATAATGTTTTCATTCGCTCTACTTTTGGAGAAGCGACTAAAAGACTACTAATGTGTTGCTTTGGACCTTGGTAGGTGTTGTAGTTGTATATTAGGAAATCATTTTGGTAGATAGTGCATGAGTTGCGCTGTTTGCTTGATCCATTAGTTCGTTGTGGTTCATCAGTTTTTGTGTTTTTAGTCAAGGGCTTTGAGATATTCTCTGAGTGATCAATCTCCAATATGTGGGGTTTTTAGATAACAAATTATTTTCTAGTTTTATCTATTTTTTTCTCTTCCTCGAGATTTAGATTTCAAGAACTTCAAGATCGAGTATCAGTTCATATGTGACAAATGTGTTTCTTTGCTTCGATCGATGTATTGAATTCCGAGTTAACAGATCCATAAATCATATGAATCTTGTAAACCCTTAATAATAACGAATCTTACAAACCCTAATTAATTTTATTTATTTTAGTGAATATTTACTATTTAAACAGAGTTTCTAGGGTAAAATTACTATTTATACTTTATATATTCTCTTCATTATTGGAGGATATTGAGTTGAGAGTAGTAATGTAGTACGTATTAGAAAGTTACTGTTGGTAATTTATTTATTTTGATAAGCCAATCAGATTTCAAGTTATTGAAATTGACATTGTAGAATTTAGAAGAGGAAAACAAGAAAAAGACTCGATTAGATATGTGTGGAAGAAACAAAAGAAGCAAAATCATGGAGACAATGGAGAGATCTGAAGGCACATGTAATCGTATCTCGTATCAATTTTGTATCCGTCTGACGTGGTCCTATCTATCTTTGGTCTTCCAACTTGGTGGGTCGTCGTGGTGACCATAAAATGATGAATCCTTCTACTAAAGTCGCATGTCATTGCTTGCTGCCTTCTTTGTAATTAGGGGCAAACTACTATACTTCAGAAGAGTCATATTATAGTTTTCAATTATTTTCAAGAAATAGATGTAACCAAAAAAAAACAGAACATTTTTAAAAAGAAATTGAAAAAACATTACTTAATAAAAAAGATTGTCTATCCTCCCATGATTTTTCTTACATTTACCAATAAATCATTAAGTATCCACATAATCAACCTAATTAGCTATCCTACCTAAAAAAAAACCTAATTAACTATACACACTTCTTAAAACTTTTTTCGTAGCTTACAACATTTTTGTTCGCACAGATAGAATAAAAAATGAGAGTTACACACTACAAACGAATCATAAGCTACAAATAGTTGTACAAAATTGAATAGGTTGAAAATATTAAGTCGAATAAAATTTGGCTGAATATTATTCAACTCATTCATCTCCAGAATTGTGGATGAACAAGTTGAACATTTTTTCTTTGGGTGCAAATGGTTGCACAATTTAAGAGATTGAAAAAAATTATTCAACTAGTTTTTACCATTTGAGTTGAAGAGGTTGAAAAAATTACTCAACCTGTTCAACTTAAGAAATTGAAAAAATAAACTAATTATAAAGGAAATTTGTTCAACTCATTCATCTCCTATTTTGCAGATGAAATGGGTTGAATGCGATTCACTCTTTTTTAACTTATTTTTCTTTAACTCTTTCGTTTTGTGCAACCAATTTTGCGTTTTATAAATTGTTCAATTTTTCAATTTCTTAAGTTAAATGGGTTGAATAATTTTTCCAATTTCTTTAATTCAAATGGTGGAAATTAGTTAAATAGTATTTTTCAACTTCTTCAGTCTCTTGAGTTATTTACTTCACCTCAAATAATAAAACTTAGCTATACTAGTATTTTTCAACTTTTTCAATCTTTTAAATGGTTTACATACTTCAAATTAACCAGGACGCGCGTCGGATCATGAGTCGCCTCCTCGACAACGTAACAAATTCACAAGTTGAAAGCATGCACGGTCGAACCCTTTATACTGTTTTTGTATTTTAAAAATATTTTTGTTTGATAACTATATATATATATATATATATATATATATATATATATATATATATATATATATATATATATATATATATATATAGCTGCTTTGATTAGAAAAAGTAAATAAATCACATCAGTTGGTAAGGCTAAAAAGAAAGAAAGAAAAGAATCTGTCAACCATGACGATCTTATCTCGTGAACGTTTGTTTATTCTTCATTATCTTGTTAAATATTTGACATTCGATATCTACATGAATGTTATAAGATTAAGACATGTACAAAATGCAAATAAATATTAAAATTTTATGTTGTAATATATGCATACGGATTAGTTTGTTGATAGATAAAAGGATTAAGTCTTTGAATCCAACGAATAATGAAAAAGTAAGACAAAGCAAAACATTTTCGTGAGGTTTGACTTTAAACAACACACCATAATTGAAAACATTGCTTTGTTTATTTTTATTTAATTATAGAGAAATCTAAAAGTGGCGACCCGAAAGCGATCGTTTCATTCACTTTTTATCTTTTGCTTTTAATATAAATCTCACATTAATCCGTTTGATGTTGACAAGTTATGTCATCATGTGGTAGCCATTTTTGACGGTTCATATTTATTTCTGATTATTTATTAGCATTTTATAAATATTTCTTAAATTTTTAATCCAATTTGTTGATTAGAATAATAATCCCATATGTTACATACATGGCCGTGAGTCACCTCAAGCTTTAGATAAAATTCCTTTTTTTTTCTTTTCTCTTTTGGATTTTTTCTTCGAAAATCTTGAACAGTGTATACAACTATTTGTGTTTAGTGTAGAGGCAATGAAGATAAATGGATGATGAAAGAACACGAAGATAAGATCATTCATAAATTACAACATACCATATTAATGTGTCATTTCTTCATGAAATTTAAGACAAGAATCCATATTTCTTAATTTATTTAATTAATGATATAAACAATAGTAATACTAAACCATATTTTCTTTATTAAGACAATGAATTGTGATTTTATAACGGTTTTCATCATATACCGCAATAACGCATATATGTTACTATTTAATCCAATTTTTTTCTTGTTAATATTTTCAAATTTTTTTTTTCGGAATTAACTAGGCATGATACGTTTTAAAAAAACATAAATATTATTTATCTAACAGTTCAAAAACATCACAAATCGTATTTATCCTGCAAAAATTATTTTCTCTAAATATCGCAGTTGAACCATACCACATATCATACAGTTTTTCTCACACAGTTAAATTTGTTAAATTGTTGTTGTTTTTAGATTGAGAATTTTTCGAGCATACTTTTTATTTTCAAAAAAAAAAACTATTTAAAGTAATTTTAAATATACCGACTAAACGATTTTACGATAGACAGGCTATTTTCACTGCTACATTTTCAATTAAACTCATTCATCGCTATCACAATAATTCGTCCCACAATAACGACATCTCTATAAACACACCACATTACTTACCGACACATACCATGACTCCTCCCTTCCTACAAAATATCAATCTCCTACGACTGTGTAAATCCTTTGTTTACACAGTCGCTTCTTTTGACCGACTAGGGTTAGAAGATGCTAAAAACAGCAAACAACAACAACAACAACAACAACAACAACAACAACAAGAAAATTTAGTAAACCAAAATTTACAAGCTACAGTACCATTACATCATACGATTAAACCGGTCTTTACTTACTTGATCATTTTCTCTATAGCAAACACTCTAGTCGAACAAGAGTCTTCCCTATTCTTTGACTGCCTTTACTCTTTTTCTTCTTTCCCAAGCAAAAAATACTGTATAATGATCAAAGAGTGTATATAGCAAAGATATTTATTTTCCTAAAACTCTACCAAAACCGGAAATGATAACAAAACACTAAATGATTCTTTCCTAGAAGACAAAACAGTCGTTTCTGTATGTTGACCGCCGCTTTCACATCCTTCCTCCATCGCACGACGACCTATCACGGCGGAGTTGGAACTGGAATCCGCCGCAGCTTTTATTTTCTCTCAGAGAGACAAGAGAGCCCTTACTATGTCTCTAGAGATCCCCATCCGAGCAAGAAAACTATTCTCAGAGCCTTCTTGGACGACGACAAACCTAAGGTCGCTAACCCTGATGCGGTGATGCCATTGGTAAAGTCTCCACGGCTCAAGCTGACTATATGCGAGTCATTGTTCAACATGTACATGGCTATGTCAAAAGTGATGATGGTCATGATGATGATAAGATTGGCGTTGAGTTGCTTTGCATGGTGAGAAACTTGTTTAAGAAGATAGGGAGGACGGTTCTTGTTGGTGATAAAGTTTACCTGAATAACATTGATTGGATTGATCGGAGAGCAAAGATCGAGAATGTTTTCAAACGAGTCTCCGAGATTTTGGATCCACCTGTGGCCAATGTGGATCACTTACTCATTCTCTTCTCTCTTGAACAACCTAAGGTTGATCCTTTCACACTCACCAGGTTCTTGGTGGAAGCTGAATCCGTTGGCATTCGAGTCACGCTTGCCTTGAACAAATGTGAACTCGTCACTCAAGAGGTAATAGTAAATTGCATAGTTTTAGACTAGCTACTCTGCTTGATGCATTAAGGGACAATGATCTTGTTTGCAGGAAATGGAATCTTGGAAGACAAGATTGCGTGGTTGGAACTATGAACCCTTGTTTTGCAGTGTTGAAACTAAAGTTGGACTTGATGATATTGCGTTTAAACTGAAAAATCAGACTTCTGTGATTGTTGGCCCTAGTGGTGTTGGGAAGTCAAGCTTGATCAACATATTGAGAAGTGGCTTTGGTGGTACCATTAAATACGAAGAAGGGTTTAAGCCTGTAGGCTTTTTTTCTTCATTTTAAGTTCTAACAATTGTTTGTAACCATATCCTCATGACTTGACCTTTGTCATATACATTCATCAGATATTAGGACTAATGTATGATGGCCAAAAGAAGAAGATGAAAAAAGTGGTTTGAAGAGCAAAGCGTAGGGGAAGTATCAGCTAGAAATGGAAAAGGTAAACATACAACGCGAAACGTAACGCTACTTCCTCTTCGTGAAGGTGGATACCTTGCTGATACTCCTGGCTTTAACAAGCATAAGAGTACAAAAGCAAAAACTTCCCCTATGTTTTCCTGAGGTTAGTACACTTTTCTTTTTGCTTGTGCCACCATTTCTCCCATATGTTGACTTGATTGATTTGTGAATCTTTCCTTAGATACGTAAAATGGTTGTGGGAGGACAATGTGAATTCCAAAACTGTTCGCATATAGGGGTACAAGGCTGTGCCGTGAAAGGTGGTTGGGAAAGGTATCCTTACTACTTGCAACTTCTTGAAGAGATCAAAATCGATGAGGAGTCTCAACTTAATAAGTATGTAACCAAAAAGGAAGGTGGTGTTAGGTAATGGTTCGATTCTCCTGGAACAAACAGCTATTGGTTCCCCATATGTGGATTATTAATTCGGGAAGCCTTGAAACAGGTGCAAGATGGGAGAGAAGGGTATGGAACAAGGTAGAGCACGGCTAGATCGTAAGAAGTATAGGATAGAGTCGAGGAAGAAGATGAAACAGACAATGATGACTGAGCTTAAATTTTAAGACAGCATCTTGGACTCTACTAGGTAACGACCAAAAAATTGTCTGTTCATTAACCATATCAGGTAATGAAGCGCCCAAAGAAAGTAAAAACCAAGTAAGCTTTCCATAAATATGTTTGTCAAGTCTTGAATACAAGAATGCTTTTGAGTATCATATGATAAAAATTAGAAATATATAGATAATAAATCCGTAATTTGACGAGTCTTGTTTAATACAAAACAGAGAAAATGAATGAAAAGAAGATGATTAAAATAACAAATAACGTACTGTAAAAAAGACTGGTTGATAAGTTGGATCTTTTCTTTTGTCCTTTAGGTGATACTTCTACTTCTAGGCCTTGGTTGATTTGCACTAAACTTAGAACATAAGAGCACATAAGTGTCTTAACAGAAGACGCGTCCGCACCAAGATCCACTTGTCTCAACAATCCATTCTCTCCAGTGATGTAAGCTATACTTTGTAAGGAACCTTTAAATATGCTTCTAGCGAAAATCACGGCCAGTTTCTTCTCTTGGTCGATGAAAAAGCTCCCAGTGAAGATCTTCGAATAAAAGTCAGAAATATCGACTGTTAAGAATTTTCTCCACAGTACTTCATTTTGCTCAATCTTAGTTGTCACTTGTATCTCCACCGTATATGTATACCAATGTATGCATAACGACGCAAGCTGTTCTTCTCTAATAGAAGATAGAGTCACATACACAGTACCTTTAACATTAAAGTTAGATGGTAAAGGAAAACACGGTCCAAATCTCTCCCTTGTAAAATCGAAACAGACAAAAAATCTTGTCCCTGTTATCACTTTTAATCCTTCCACTTTCCGACGATAAAAGTAAGTATTTCCCTTCAATGACACGCTCTGATCATGACACATTATATCCGAGTGGTGAACATCATCAAGAACCTTCCACGAATTAGACTTAAAATCAAAGATTTCGTAACCATACCTACTCATCATCAAGATTTTGTGGTTACCCTTGTTGTCATATCCCAAAGCATACACGTCTGATAAGTCATAGTTAGTTCTAGGTTGAATATACCTAATCTGGCTCATATACGGGTTCCAAACTATGAGCCTAGTGTTGTTGTTGACCTCCTTACCAACCAATAACAATAAGCCATCACAATGAAAGACTTGAGATATCTCAAGTTTACTAAACTTTTTTATTTGCTTTATAGATGGTGTAACGACGTGTTCTTTGTTTTGGATTCCATGGAGATCATAACTCTTTGAGAATACTTTCGATTCTTTCACCATGATTCCTAGATACTCTTGTCTTGCTTCTCCCTTACATAGAATCCGATTTTTCGATAAACAGTTCCATCGTTTGCAAGTAGATCTCACTGCTCTTAGACATCTTCTCTGAACCCTTGATAGTATCTCTTCTACCAAATCCTCCGGAAGAAGATCGAACATCATCATCGTCTTCAGATGGAAACTAGGGTTTTTTTGAACTATACGCCTTCCCCACGCTATTACGATTGATTATATAAAAGCGTCAGATAGGCCCTTAAGTTTGGGCCCATAAAACTTAAAAATATGGCCCATAACTCAATCTTCTTCATATCACACCCAAATTCTCCACTGTTCTCTCCTCGCTACACAGTCTTGGATTCTTCTAGAATTTACTTATGCAGACATCGTCGATTTCACTCCTCCGCCACTCTTCTCCGTTCCTCCGTCGCACGGCAGTTTTTCACGGCGGAGGCGGAGTTCGAGTCGCAGTCGGAATTCGCCGCAGCTTCTGTCCTCTTTCAGCTAGACGAGATAATCCTGATGTCTCGAGAAAACCCCAACCGAGCAAGAATATGCTCAGAGCGAAACATATCGGTAAAAATTACTCCTCCTCCTTGTCACCAGTTCTCTCACCGGAGCACAAACCTACGCTCTTAGAGTCTCAAGCTATTGGTACTGTTGCCACCGCTCAAGCGAACTTTATGCGCGTCATTGTTCAAGATGTAGCTAATTCTGTGAAGAGTGATGATGATGATGATTCGTCTAAGACTGGTGTTGAGTTGCTTTGTGTGGTAAGAGCTGTGTTGAAGAAGATACGTAGGAAGGTTTTGGTTGGGGATAAGGTTCTCGTTGGATCTATTGATTGGGTTGATCGGAGAGGAATGATTGAGAATGTGTTTCATCGACGCTCTGAGATTTTGGATCCACCGGTTGCGAACGTTGATCATTTGCTGGTTCTTTTCTCTCTGGATCAACCGAAGCTGGAGCCGTTTACTCTCACTAGGTTCTTGGTGGAAGCTGAGTCTACTCGTATTCCACTCACACTTGCTCTCAACAAAACTGAACTCATTAGTGAAGAGGTAAGGAGGAAGGAACTGCATAAGCTCACTACTAGTTTAGACCACTTGCTGCTTTCTGAGTTTGACGATTGGAAATATGATCTTTGCTTACAGGAGTTGGAATCTTGGAAGATAAGATTGCGTAGCTGGAACTATGAACCACTGTTTTGCAGTGTGGGAACTAAGGACGGACTTGATGCGATTGCGTTTATCCTGCGGGATCAGACTTCTGTGATTGTTGGACCTAGTGGTGTTGGAAAGTCAAGTTTAATCAACATATTGAGAAGTAACCATGGTGGTGGTGAGGTGGAAGATGAGAATTGGTTTGAGCCTGTAAGTTTCTTTTGTGTTATTTCCTTCTAGAGCTTAACTTTTCTTTGCCATCATTCTCATGACTTGACCTTTGTGATGTACAGATGCTAGGTAATAAGTGGTTTGATGATCAACGAGTAGGGGAAGTTTCTTCTAGAAGTGGTAGGGGTAAACATACAACACGAAATGTATCACTACTTCCCGTTTCTGAAGGTGGTTATCTCGCTGATACTCCTGGCTTTAACCAGCCTAGTTTGCTGAAAGTTACAAAACAATCACTTGCACACTGCTTCCCTGAGGTTTGTACTTTGTACCCATTGGCTTGTTCCCATTTCCCTTATCGACTGACTGTGACGATGTATTGTCTATTGAACTGTTTCTTTAGATACGGAACATGATTGAAGGTGAAAAATGTGGATTTAGAGATTGCTTGCATATAGGGGAACCAGGGTGTGTTGTTAAAGGTGATTGGGAAAGGTATCCATACTACTTACAACTGCTTGATGAGATCAGAATAAGGGAGGAGTTTCAGCTTAGGACTTTTGGAACCAAGAGGGAAGATGATGTTAGGTATAGTTGTGGTTTCCGCTGAAACTACATCTTCTATTTTTAGATAGATTAATTCCTAAGTGTTGTTAACAAGGGAATCCTTGACACAGGTACAAGGTGGGAGACATGGGTGTAAAACATGCTGAGCCACGGCTAGTTCCTAAGAAGCATAGGAGAGAGTCAAGGAAGAAAACAAAACAGACAATGATCAGTGAGCTGGATGAGTTCGAAGATGAAGACAGCGACTTCGACATAGAGAACGACCCAATAGTCCAAGCGATTGAGAATGAGAAGAAACAACAATGAGAGAACTCGTGTTCACACGAAAGACTTTAGACAGAAGATGTAAAAAATTGTACAGATCTCTTTTGTTCTAAGCGTTTTTTGCACTTCTGCCTCATTGACAAAGCGGTAACTTAATCAGAAGATATTAATATTGCAGAATTTTTTATTTCGGTTAAACTTTTAATGTTTTAGAAAAAATGATTACTACTAAACATGATAAATGATTTCATAACCATTAAGCGAAAATCTCCAAGAAGAATCTATCCGTCGTCTTACAAAACGATTCGAGCTAAAAGTAAAAGGAAACAAAATCTCTTCAAAGAGCACAAGGACATAGAAATTAAAAACAAAGAAAGCTTAAGCTGCTGTCTTCTTAGACTTCGCTGCCAACTGAGTCTCCGGCTGCAATTACCAAAGAACATTTACGAAATTAGAATCACTAATATTAACAAGAATCCTGGAAATACCAATGAGATAAAATATGATTTACCTCTTTCTTGACAGGCTCTTCCTTCTCTGACAAAATCAACTCAATGTGGCATGGGTTGGACATGTAAGCTGGTAAAATAAGAAAGATACAGAGTCAAACAAAAGGAAAACTAAAACTAACCATGCAAGTATAACTTACAAAACCTCAAAACTTACGGTTGATTCTTCCATGAGCACGGTAAGTCCTTCTCCTTTGCTTTGCGGCCTGGTTCACTTGGATGTGTGATATGAAGAGGGCATCAACATCCAAACCTTTCACCTGAAGAACAACAATCAAAGTAACCTTATTAGCTAAAGGGCAGAGAGAACAATGACAAATTTCACAGAGTCATAATCAAATGATTGTTATTCTCACCTCAGCATTGCTCTCAGCGTTCTTGAGCAAATCAAGAACAAACTGAGCAGACTTGGCTGGCCAACGTCCTTGACCATTAGAATGCCTGTTCTTAGCTTGGGCAGTTCTCCCTACACCTCTGCAGAAACGAGTGAAGGGGATTGCTTGCTTGTGAGCTATCACATCCTCAAGGTACCTCTTCGCCTTGATCAATGGTAGCTTCCTGATGGCATGCGCTGTTTCCCTAGTGTTCTGTTCCACGCAACCCATAGAAAAACAGAAACAAAATTAGAACCAACCAACAAATTACAAAACAACAGTCATTAAAATGTGGCATCATTTACTGAACCATTAGTCACTACAATTCTACATAGGTTCACCCAAGAACAATGCCCGTTATTTCCCTGATATATACGAGAGCTTCATTCACTGAAAAAGGCAACAAAGCCCTGCTTTTTTTAATCAGGTTGCATACTAACTTGCTAACCAAAAAAACCCCTAACACTAGCTAAAGATATGAAATGCTATATTATAATCAATGTACCATCATGTACTGAACCTTATAGTTATGAGAAAAATAAACATAGATTCACCCAATCACGATGACCAATTCAATTTCCCTGAAGTATACGTGAGATCTGTAAATTGCAACAGAACTCTGCTTTTTCTCAATCAGGTTAACCTAAAGCTACAATCATCCTAATCATAAATCCAACTACATCGGAAAAAAAAACCAAAAAGATGAGAGAAAAATGTAACTACGAAGCTATACATACCTTGAAGTGAACCCTAAGATCGGATCCTCTAGCCTTGCAAGCTGCAAAATCAAACCAAATGTATCCACAAAGATCATTACACAAAATCGGATACAGAGTAAAACGAATCGAGACAACGAAATGGTACTAAGATAAATGTCGGAAAGAACTTACACTTGGTCTGGTTGTCGGGTTCTTGCGAATACTTCACCTGCGAAATTATCACAGGAAAGATAAGAAAATTAGATAATCCGATTTCTAGGTTAAATCTGCGAGAGTAGAGATGGAGTGGGAAGCTTCAAGCAATTACCATGGCGGCTAATAGAAGAATCGGCTGCAGAAGAGTTGAGAGATATGTTAGAGGGAGAGTTTATATAGTGAAAAATATATAAACCCTAAAACCTAATGGGCCTCTTCTTGTTTAGTTGTAATGATTTTACGGGCTTTATGAAAGAGCCCATTAATACTAGGAATTGGGCTATTCTTCTATTCAGATTTTGTTTCTTTTCTTGTCCATCCATTTGAATTCCCAATATCAATATCGTGAATTTAATTGTTGAAAACCTTGGTTATAATTTTTTTTTTGGTGAAACACATAACATGATTCACTACACAACATCAACAGGAATGCAATATTACTATTGTTTGTTTTTAGTCATCAACTCCCAAAGTATGTTCATAAGGAGTTTGGTATGGTAATGCAATTCTAAACTTTATAGTTCCTAAATTGCAAAAAGGTAATTGAATGCAATGTTTTTTAGAAAAAGACGGATGAAAATCCAGCCTTTTCCAGAGTCGCCCAACAATAAAGTCGTTTGGTAACTGAATGCAATGTTTTTCATTTGTCTTTTTCTAAAAAACATTGCATTCAATTATCTTTTTGCAACTTAGCAGCTATAAATTTTAGAAGTGAAGTATCAAGTAAAAGATTGATGTGAAGTATGATGTGAAGTAAAATATTGATGTGAATTATGGTGTGAAGTAAAGTATGTGTAATAAGTGTGAAGAAAGGAGAATCCACTGATTGTATTGGTGTACTTTTTTCATGGAGTTTTTCGTAATTGGTTATCCATGATTCTGGAAGTAGCTTAACTAATTCGCTTCCTTAGATTATGTACTATAAATAACAAGTTTGGAGAGATTTGTTCACCATAAGCTGAAGTGTCTAAAATCCTATGTTGGTACTCTTTGTATCTGGTGTCGAGGAGAGCGAATCTTGCCACTACCGGTAAGCCTTTTCTTCCATGAAAAGTTAATGCTAGGCGTATTGCTCCATAGTGAAGATATCCGTTCAACTCGGTAGATTGGATGGTCACGGTTAGAACGAGGCCACGCATATTGATCATGGAAGCCTAAAAGCAGTTGTCGTATTGCATTACCATACCAAGCTCCTTATGAACATACTTTGGGAGTTGATGACCAAAAAAAAAACATCATTTGGGATTAATAAAATACTTCAGAATATAGTTAATTAGGTTATTGATTGCTTTATTCAAGTTGATATGAGCAATCAATAACCCTAGCAAATAAAGGATTAATGGAGATCTAAGTGTCTAAAACTCAACTTCAGAATTGGTGTTATGCTTTGACAGAGACTAGAGCAGCGAATAAGACTTAGTCATGTTGCTATATAATATCAGGTCACTATATATTAAAATAAATAAACACATTGGATTGAACTATATGTCCCGCGTTAAAAAACGGATTTATTCACTAATGTTTTAGCAAAAGCAAAAAGAGAATATATAATAAATAAAACAGTCTATGATTTAGAAGAAGTAAGTAGAAAGAAAGCTAGTGTATGCAATGACGTCTGACCATTTTGGGAAAAGACCCTTCAAATGTATAGTTTCTTCATCAAGACGTTGATCAAGAACAGCTACATCTACTCTCACTTCTTCTTCACTACTTGCCTCTAACCAGAAGATCCACTTCTCACCGCTGTTACCACTCAGTCTCAATATGTAAGATGGTGGACCACCCGGTGGGAGCTCAGGTGCTGCAACAACAATAAACCCATTTTGGTTTTACGGTCTTTTAGTTAATGTGTTACGACAAGGACAAAGAGGGTTCTTTGTTTGTAACCTGGAGGTTTGCCATCTGCGAACGACCATCCTGATAATGGACCGGTTATGTTCAGAACCGTGACCCAGATCTCCTCCAACGAGCTGCATATGAACAATATGGGCAATAGGCCAATAGTTAATAAACAAATTTGGTAATAGCACAAGAAGCTCTTTTTTTCTTGGAGTCCAACTAACCCCAGAGAGAGTTCCAGATGAACTCTGCGAGTTCCGTTTTTAAATATCGTTTGCGGTTTACGAGTTTGTAGGTACGGGAATTGGCTATATCGTTCCGAAATATTGCTGGCTTTAGCAGAGAACCTCCCGTTTGTTGTTACTACACAGGAAATAGGGAAAAGTGCCTGTAGATACCAAAACAACTCTTTACTCCAAACTGAAGACACTTACTATCTTGCCAATAGCAGATACGATTAAATGAATCTAATGAACATACCAACCAAGCTTCTTGAGGAGATGCTTCAGCATTTGCTAACGAAAATGAAGGGCCAACATTAAGTTCCTCTGCCACCTCTGGAGCATGCTTGAAAACAAACTCCATAGAATTTGAATCAATGACAGCTAAATCGTAACTTGAGCCTGTGATTTCATTTCCACCTGCAACAGTAACTTTAAACATTTACTTCATTTCAGCAAAAAAAAGATCACTTCGAAAACAGTTCCATATTGCATGAGAAAAGTCTACCAGCAGACATGAATGTGTGTTGGAGTACAACTCTCTTCGGTGCATCTTTGCTATAAGGAAAGAACTGTGATGATACCGCCAACATGACCACACTGAAGTGAAGCAAGAATTTCAAGATCGACGATTTGGCCAGCCAACGATCACAAACTGGTATTACCGGACCCAAACACAAGCCGGTGACAATTCCAATGACTGCAGCAACTGCTACATCTGCTAGATAAAATCCTGCAAACCAAAATTATTGTACAATAAACATCTTCACAATGAAAGCCAGACTTGAAATCACAACAAGCTATTTAATGTTTCAATGGTAAAATTCTCAAATGGAGTGAATCGGTTTAGCTGAATCAGAAAGATACTTTTTGAAAAGAATCGAGTTAAGTAAAACTAACCATAAGGTGGTGGAATTGCTCCCATCATTCCCGTCTTCTCAATTAAAAATAGTGCAAGAATACCACCAAAATAGAGAGAATACAGAAGGCATGGAACAAGAGGTATCACATAAAACATGGGACACCTGGATGACATAAACTCTATTATACAACAGATTAAAATCAATGTCGTCTCGAAAATGAAAAGCTAGAAGTATTATTAGAAGTCGAACTCCAGACTACTGTCTAAACCAAGGATCTTATTGGCAAAAGATATGTCCTATGTTCCAAAAAAACAAGTAATGTCTAGTAGTCTTACTTGATTGAGTTATAGCCATAGGACTTGACTGACAAACAGAAAGCAACCCATCCGAGTAGCATAGAAATGCAGATGACAAATGTCATGAATCCTCCATTTAATCCAGCGAAAAAATATGCCTGAAAACGTTTCTCCAATTAGTAAAAGATCAGCCAAACAAGTAACAAAAGTTCGAGGTAAAATATAAACCAAGAGGATAAAAAAAAAAGCACATACCGAAGTTGAAAACGCATAGAACCCAAATGCTCCCCAAAACCTTGCTTCATCAGATGGTTCCTACAAGATCATAGTTAAAAGACATTTTCTAGTAATAGACAGGGAGGCTAATGAGACAAGGAGGAAGAATAAGGACTTTACAATTTTCATAATCTTCTTGGATGTAACACCTTGACAATGTGAGACACGATCAGAGATAGCTCTTGGAATTAAAAGGCCAAAAAATGAGCAGGGGATGAACATCAAGAAAGCCAAGTATGAATGAGCAAACCTGCATTATCACCATAACTTTAATTAGTCTCCCTCACCAATAAAATTCTCCACTGTTTCGACACCTTTATTGTGCACTAAGTAAAATGTTGAACAATGTAACAAGATATATAAAACCAACCAGCTCATGGGATAAGCAAAGAACAATCTGATGACTGCGAAAAGAACCGGGAATATCACACCAAGTAAAATCCCAGCGAAATGGTGCATAACTCCTGATCAGGCAATGGTTTACAATGTTAAACCTCCAAAACATCGTACAAAATAACAATTCAGAAATTCAAAGATATGCAAATTTTTACCTCTCAAGAAAGCCCAGAAGATTGATAACAAAGAATGTGTCCTATGGTCCATCATATACAAAAAGAAAGGAACAGAAAGGAACAAAGCAGCTGGGAAGTTGTGAAGTATCATGGCTACTCTTCTTGGATAGTACACCTGATAAATTTCATGATATCAGCTTGTCAAGAGTTTAAACAAGTTAAGAAAAAGATGTTGAGCAAAGTCAAAAACACCTACCATGAAGAATGTTAAGTAATCAAAGAAAACAGCTCTTTCAACCATATCATTGTTAGCATCCACGTCAAGTGACTTTCTTTCACTAGCAACCTTCAGTCTAGAAGAACTCGTGAAGGCTTTAAGCACGCTAAATAAGTTTTCTCCACGCGCTTGCATGCTTCCGGGTCTGGTTCAAAGATATTCTGTGAAACGAGGATCGTACTAAATAGTAAAGAATAGTAAGGAAAAGTTCAACCATAATATATACCAAAACGATGCATACACTATTCTGTCCACTGTATCAAAGGAAGTATGGTAGTAGTAACCGCCCAGAAGAAAGATAATGTCTAGCCCCGGGATGTCGGCATAATCTTCTGCAAACATTCTGTAATCGGTGTCTCCAGGAATTACAGGGAAAACATCCTGGGAAATATCACAGGACAAGTTAAAGTCATTGACATAGATGAACTAGAAACAAAGTGGCTGGATACAGTTTTGTTATTGACCCCACTATCACTTGGCAAAAGCAGAGATGACAGAGAGAGATACCTGTGCAGAACTCTGCGCCATTGGATACACTGCAGCTTGAGAATAGATTTGGGACGGCCACGAACCAGGCCCTGATTGGCAGACCAGATCTGCCAGCCATTGACATTGAAACAAAAGTACTAATAATTAACACCACCATAGAAAGTTAAAACAAATAGTCATTAAAAAGCAAACACATAATACTGTCACTAATAAGCCAACGCATATTCTTCCTGAGAATGATGTATGTGCATGCATTTATGTTCTAAAGACACGATGTTGCAACAAAAGTTCGTCAATAAGCCTAAAGGCAACAGTATACACAGATGTTAATAGATAAGCTTTTTGTTTCAGTCCTCATAAATATAAGAGCATCCAAGACCAAACTTAAGAACATCATTGTAATGGTTTTCTTCATCATCAAATTTACACCATCTGAACAGTCCTTAAGGAATACAAGATCTTACCAATACCCCCTGTCCCAGAAGCTTCCACGTTTATAAAAGCTCCAATGGTGTCTTTTAACTTATGCTTAGTCATGAAACCGTGCGAGCCCTAAATACACGACAAAACACCACACCACCATGTAAAGTAAGAGCTTATTTTCATCATCTTGACTATAAAAAAAACGCTTACTATTTAGCAACTACAAAATACATTAAGACCAAGAAGATAAATTTCATGAAACAACATTATTCCACACGAAAGAGTACTAAGCATCAGCATAACTATGTTACCAGCATAAAAAGCTCTTCAGCACCATTAAAGAGAAATATTACAGGTCGAGGAGGGATCCAACCAGAATCCACTACCAGCCTTGCTAATTCAAGTAGTGATGCTGCAAAAATGGAAATACATAAATGATAAATCCATGAATTTAGTGGTTTAGAAAGGAAAAAACTAAATAAATGGTACCCCAAACTCACCAACACATGACCCACAGTCACCAGCTCCAGGAGAGTTAACAGGACTGTCATAATGTGCATTCATCAATACAGATGCATCAGTGTCATGAGAATGAACTGAGGAGATACTGCAACAAAACAAAAAACAATGGTGAAATGTTTGGCATTAATAAGTGGGGACACAAATCATTCAATGTTGCAGACTACTAATGCCTGAATATAAAATAAGACAAATACGAGAAAGAATGGTCAGAACCAAAGTGAATCATAAATGCAAACTAGATACTCTCCTGAATAAGCCAGAAACTTCAATGTACTAGTTAAGGAATTACATAAGATTTTCAAATAGTTAAAGAAAGAGTACCGCATAAGTATATTTGTATGGTTTCTGTATCCAAGTGATATGCTGTGACCAAGAAACATCATGCTAAAAGAACCATCCACCTGAGTCTCCTCCACCTCAACTCTATTATACAACAAAAGCATTCATTTTTCAGCTCAGATAAACAAAAAGTTAACAAGAAAAAAAAACATTCTTTTTAAAGATTGGAATCAATCAATATATTTTTTAAGAGAGTGCATCTTCTAAACCTTAGATTAGGTCCAGCTCTCTCTTTTACCATCTCCAATTGCGATTTTATATATGTTGCAGCTTCTTTAAGCCCTGGTCGTCCTTCCTACAAAACCCATAAGATCAGAGAGTGAAGAGAGAGAGAGAGGCAGAGAAAGAGATGAAACGGCGGCGAATCACCTGACGACCATCGATCTCCTCAGCCAAGACACGGATATGTTCGACGGCTCTAGCTTCAGAGAACCGTTCTAGAGGAGCGTCAGAAGGAAGCGGAGAGATGAGTTTCATGTGGAGGACGGAGTAAACAATAGCTGACATTAAAGCGTAGATGAAGACGATTGAGAATAGGAACTTGAATCCAGTGGCATCTCTTGAACTCATTCTCCAAAACGCCTTCATCGGTTTGGTAATGACAAAGAGATCAGAGAGACAAATCTCGCTTGTACTTGAAAGACAACGATTGTTTTCAGTTTTGTAATATAACGGAACAGAACAGAACACAACACAGAACGGGAACGCCGTCGCCGTGTGTCAGAGAAGAGAGTTTACGGTGTGATCAAAATTTACTAAATTGTCCTCACGTTAAATACGTTTCTCTAATCTAATCTTATTTATTGAAAATATGTCAGGATCAAAGTGTAAATTTAATTAAGTTCATAGAGATTTGTAAAGTTTGATTCTTTTTGTTTTTGACTTTATACAGATTAGAAGTTTGAAAAATCATTGAATTCGAATATCTTAGACTATTAAAAAAGGTGAGATCATATAAATATTAGAATTAATTTGCATGTGTATGGACAGATGTCAATATCAAAAGTGACATTATCGTCAAAAAAGAATAGATATCAAAAGTGACATTGTTGTGTAGATTGTGTGATCATGTAGAATCAGAGCAATGGACAAATAAAATAACATGATCAATTAAAAGGTTTGATACAAATGTCTTATGTTTTATTTTTTAGTTTGGGATGTTAAGAGTTTAGAGTTTAGTATAAACACGCAAAAAAAGCATTTTAGAGTTTAGACATACGTTAAAGTGACGTGAGACCAAAACTAATATGTGTTAAATAAAAGCATAGTAATATTATGATAAGCTCCCACACGTTAATTACGTGCCACCGGGTTTGTATGAGAGATTAGAGTGGAGTTTAGAATTGGTTAATCATCTTGATCCAAGCTATAGCAACTTAAGCTTCTCATAAGTGTCTCCCACACAACTCGCCGTGAGATCGTATGTCAAATTGTTAATGCACCTTTGTGTTTGGTTTGGTTATCATGCGTGATTGTTTTCTCCGACATTTTGGTCGAAATGTTGTATTCACTCACCATTGCTATTTGTTGTAATGATGATGATATAGTTGGGAGAGAAGATCGAGAACAAAGAACGTAAATCAATCAAGAAAAAAGGCCATAGCCGGTCCGAAAATAGTTTTCTGTTTAGAGTAAAAAAGGCCCATTAACAAACATATTGGCAAAATCTTCAAAATCTACATTCATATTTCACCAAAATAAGTCTTTACTTTCTTAATACACCAATACAGTATATTGTTGATGTAAAGTACATAATAGCTTGTTGGATTTGAATCCAAGGATGGGCCAAAAAGAAAGAATAGTTCGAAGATAATTTAAACCAAATATCAAAAGAAAGTACAATGATCGAAAACAAAAATTCCAAATATTTTTGGTATTGGAATAAGGAGGTTACACGTTTTATACACAAATAGCTTGGTTAAGGATTCTCAAACTTGTTACTAAAAATCAATAAGAATAAGGAGATTGCACGTCATTGCATAAGACACCATATGTGATATGTGTCAAAACATTGTGGATGCAAGGATCCAACATATAAACAAATATTAAGGTCTAAAATCTTCATTTAATGACCATTTATGACAAAGGATTAAGAAACATTACTACTTTTTTAAAAGTAAGAAATGAATATACATCATTTTCATTTCAATATTTTTACACGATGTTAAATACTATAGTTAAAGTCATTAATCAAAAGTTTAAATTCATATATATTATTTGTATAAGTGAATTTATCTATATTATTTGTAATTTATTTTATCGTCTATTCTACAATTTTTTTTTTCTAAATACCAAATTTTAGATTTTAAATCCAAAACGACAAAATTCACAACATCAAAAAACAATTTGAATAAATTGGGCTAAAAATAAAATCATATTTTGTAGAATTTTAACAATTAACATATTATATTTTTCCATACTAATTATGTTGAGTTGAAAGGTAAAAAATAGGAGGGACTAGTAGATTTGTTTTTCTGAGTGAATGAATCGAATCACTTTGTTTGTTTGTCAATCACTCAACACGTTTCGTTTCAATCAAAACTCGTTGGAAGAAGCATCAAAGCAACAAACAACAAACACAAAACAGAGACCGTTGGATCCAAATCTCACATTCTTCTCCTTCTCCTTCTCTATCTCTCTCTCTCCCTCTCTCTCACCAGAAGAAGAAATGTACGGCAAAACAATATGCACAATCGTCTTCTTCATCTTCCTCGTTGCTTCTTTTTCAATCTACATGGGCACCGTCGATCCAAGACCTTACTTTTACCTCCTCCAATCACAGCCCCGTGAAGCTTCTCCTTGTAGCTCCAACGGACGACCTCTCCGTGTCTTCATGTACGATCTCCCTCGGAAGTTCAATGTAGCGATGATGGATCCACGCAGCTCAGATGTTGAGCCACTCACTGGGAAGAATCTGCCTTCTTGGCCTCAGACTTCTGGGATTAAGAGACAGCACAGCGTTGAGTATTGGCTTATGGCTTCGCTTCTTCAGAGAGGTGGTGATGGTGGTGACGATGAAGCAATTAGGGTTTTTGATCCGGATTTGGCGGATGCTTTCTATGTTCCGTTCTTCTCTTCGTTGAGCTTTAACACTCATGGGAAGAACATGACGGATCCTGATACTGAATTTGATCGGAAATTACAGGTAATTTTTGAAATTCCGGTGATTTGTTGATGTTCTGATTTAGTTTTGGGTGATGGGTCAGCTCAGATTCGTTGACTTTTTGCAAAGTTTGAATCTTTTTTGAATTGCCCTTGAGTCGATTGTACTGGTCAGTGGTCATGAATTGGATTCATGAGTTCGATGTGTTTACAGGCTTTGTTTCTTGTTGTGTTAGGTAGAGTTAATGGAGTTTCTTGAGAATTCAGAGTATTGGAAACGTTCAGGAGGCAAAGATCATGTGATCCCGATGACACATCCTAATGCTTTCAGATTTCTAAGGCAGCAAGTGAATGCGTCGATTCTCATTGTTGTGGATTTTGGGCGTTATCCGAAAGATATGGCACGTCTCAGTAAAGATGTTGTTTCTCCGTATGTACATGTTGTTGAGACCTTGACAGAGGATGGTGATGATGATGGTATGACGGACCCTTTTGAAGCTCGTACCACGCTTCTTTACTTCCGTGGGAATACAGCTAGGAAAGACGAAGGTAAAATCCGTCTGAGGTTGGAGAAGTTATTAGCTAATAACTCTGATGTTCACTATGAGAAAAGTGTGGCAACTACACAAAACATCAAAGTGGTAAGCAACTATCCCTCCCATATTAATATGTTAGACTAGGCAAGGATTAGAGAGTCCACATAGTTGAAATCTTAAGAAAATGTGGTAACACAGCGTTCTCAGTCCAAGACCATGTGATTGGGTTTCATTAAGCATGAGTATATTTAGGATACTGTTTCATGTGTTTAGGCGTTTGAGTCTTTTGGGGACCTCTTAGGCATGGGAGAAATCATGAGTTCTCTTAAACAAACTAAGGTTCCTATCTTTGGTACTTGTGTCAGTTTGTTTGTGCTCTTCATTTTGTGAGCTGATTTAGAGCAGAATAGAAGAAGATATCTGATGATGCACCTATCACAATGATAGTGATTCTTCTCCTTGTGTTTTGTTTTGTCACCAGTCTACGGAAGGGATGAGATCATCGAAATTCTGTCTGCATCCAGCTGGAGATACTCCATCTTCATGCCGCCTATTTGATGCCATTGTCAGTCACTGCATTCCGGTCATCATAAGCGACAAAATCGAGCTGCCCTTTGAAGATGAAATAGATTACTCAGAATTCTCAGTCTTTTTCTCTATAAAAGAGTCGCTTGAACCGGGTTACATCCTCAACAACCTCCGCCAGTTTCCCAAGGATAAATGGCTGGAAATGTGGAAACGCCTGAAGAACGTATCTCATCACTTCGAGTTCCAGTACCCACCCAAGAGAGAAGATGCAGTAAATATGTTGTGGAGACAGGTGAAACACAAGATCCCTAATGTCAAGCTCGCTGTACATAGAAACCGGAGGTTGAAAGTCCCTGATTGGTGGCTTTGAAGAATGACCAAATTTTTTCTGAAGGTTAAGTCTTTTCATTCTTCTTCCCTTCAATACTGTACATTAGTTGATTCTTTTGTTACATTGTTCTTTTCACGATCCATTGATAGGCATATATTCTCTAAAACATCATTTTTTTATAAATAACCTGAGGTAGTTGCATCTAAGGTTTCCGCTTTATCTGTTTTGATTTCTCTTTATAGTTCACTGATTCAGACACTTTATATCTTGTAAGGTTTGAGATGAGAGTTCCTATTGTTGTAAACTTGTAATGAAAATAAGATGATAAAAGCTGCTCCTCTATCTTCTTCGTGTTCCAGCTTCTGTTTTGTTTCCTTTTTATGGGTTCTAACTTCTAAGGCATATATCATCTGAATGTTATAAGTGTTCTTAACCCATCAGAGAGATACGCAGACACCATAATGTTGGAACCGACCAACCATATAAATCCTTTGAACTATTTTATTTATGAATGGGCAAGTGTAATAGGCCATACCAAAAAATGGTCCATGAGAAAAAGTAAAGTCTCTGAAACGTATAGAGTGAAGGGGTATATGCGTCATTTAGCTAGATATACTGACACGAACTGTGTATAAATAAGTCGAAGTCGCCGAAGCTGACTAGTTGTATAAGAGAGTAACAAGCACGTTCTCTCCGACAAAACAAAGCCGGAAGACTCTCATTCTCAAACCGGAGATGCGAGTTGTCAGAATCTCATGCGTCGGGACACGTCATCTCTCGCCTCCTTCCTCCGTCCGCGGCTGCGACGCCCACTCCGACGACGCCTCTGCCTCCTCCGCCGGTACGCTCTCTCTCTCTCTCTCTGTCACCGTGTTACTCTGTTTTGATATTATTGTTGGAAACTATATTTCCTATAAAAGTGGTAACGCCGAATCAATCAGAATCGTAAAAAATTTTAAACTGTCCATATTTGATCTTTGTTTTTTTATCTTTCCGTAATCCTTATTATACTTTCATAATGTAATATTAGATCCATCCAAATGCAAATTAAAAAAATTTGAGTTACCAAGATAAAGAAATGCAAAAGACTGTTCTCTTCATTTATTTAATCATCACTATGTTGCCTCAATTTTCAATATCCAAATTTAAAATGTTGCAAAACTGTGCTTAAGTGATCCATAAAATGTGCTAACTGGTTGGTTACTGTGTATGTAGCAGAGTAAGGCCGCTATCTAACAGTGTATTTGACCAGCAAAACTCACTAACGTGTGTGATGATGATTAAAGAAGAAACCTATCTATTACTGTATTATTTTGGCTAGATGTGATGTTTTTTGGCATAATTATTAGGTGTCTGGGTTACAAGGAGCATTGGTTTCATTTTGTGTCTGAATCATAATCTAAGATTTTGGGGTCAAGTCCATCGTGGGTCCTTTATGAGTTTGTGAAATAATAATTCGTATCGGTGGTTTGATAGGATTGCACCGGTTTAGTTTAATCGGAACGGGTCTGAGAGATCCGTGAATGATTCAGTCGGTCTGCCACGTGACTCATACAAAAAACTTTCAGTTTTGTAGATCTATATGTTTGTTTGTTTGTTTGTTTGTAGAAAAAGTTTACACTATGTTTGATTTTAATTGTTGGAATTGAGTTTTGTGTTTGGTCCCCTATATGTCTAGATCAGCTTCATGAGCAAGTTTTTTTGACAGTTGTATTGGAATTTGTTATCCTATACAAACAAGTTTATAAACTGGAGTAGAGAGGCAAGTGGTACTCTCACTTCAAATAGTAATCACATTGTCTTTATGTGGCAATGGGGTTCACATAGTTATATCTATTATTGGCTAACTTGTCACCATATGTAGGAAGTGTCCAAACCAGTTTAACCATTCTATACCTGATATTTATAAACCGAAAAATCTGATTCAAAACCAACCAAAAAAAAACCGGATTGAGACAATGAATGTGACTAGCAGCCAAGTTCATGTGCGTGGTGCCCTCCTTTCCCTTATGACTTGACCAAGTGTGTTTTCAATCTTTAATTCCAATGGAAGCTAGCTACTTTTAGTTATATAATAAGTGCTAAGATAGGAGATGCTTTTATGCAATTCTTGAACTAAGTGTGTCTAGGAAAGCTTAATAGTGAACAACAGAGCAGTTTAATGTAGTCTCTCATAGGTGCTAGCTTTTGTGTTCTTCTCAGGTTTTAAATCCTCAGGTGTTCTTGTTTGGTTATACAGGGCTGATCAATGCAGATGCAGATGATGCGAGTTGTAGTAGCACGCCTAGTTGGAGAATCAAGAAAAGCCTTACATGTGTGTGCTTCAACCGTAAGAGAGCGTATGAACGTATCTGTTCTAACTTGACACCATTGCAGGTAAACAAAACTGAAAAAACAATAGCTGCAGTAATAAGGTTGAATGGAAGCATTCAATCTTCTGAGTCTGATTGTTTTTTATTTTTTCATAGGAAGAAAGACTAAAGAGATTGAGGAAGAGAATGAAGAATTACTTTGATGCATCGCGACCAGACCATCAGGATGCACTGAGAGCACTGTGGTCAGCTACGTATCCTGGTGAAAAGCTTCAAGCTTTGATCTCAGACCAATGGAAAAATATGGGATGGCAAGGAAAAGATCCATCCACTGACTTCAGGTTAACCCTCGTTCTCTTGCTCGACTAATAGAATTATAGAACGTGTCAAATAGTGCTTAATTTGGTTTTCTTGCAACCGTTGCTATCAGAGGAGCTGGATTCATATCACTGGAGAATCTTCTATTCTTTGCCAAGACATTCTCGGTAAACTTGAATCCCACGTCACTTTCTACTTTGAGAAATCCATAACCTTCTTTAATGTAATTTTCCATTGGTGTAGACTTCATATCAGCGTCTGTTAAAGAAACAAGGCGGCAAACGAGCCGCTTGGGAATATCCATTCGCTGTAGCTGGTGTCAACATTACCTTTATGATCATGCAAATGCTCGACCTAGAAGCATGTGAGTGTCACTCACTCACTCACTCACCCTTTAATGCCTTACCACCTTAGTTTGTGAAGCAAAACTGGTTTTTATACTTGCAGCAAAGCCTAGGAGTTTTATACGGTTGGTGTTCTTACAAATGCTATCAGGTAAACTATGAAAGCATACCATTATCTATACATCTGGTTATGATCGACCACAGCTCTGGTTTCTTGATTTTCTTGACTTCAAAGTTTTTTGAAAATCCAGAAAACGAATGGGCCTTTGATTTGCTTTACTGTGTGGCCTTTGCTGTAATGGACAAGCAATGGCTGGACAAGAACGCCACCTATATGGAATTCAACGTGAGTTGATCAATGTTTCTGTATAATATATAAAATGTATTACTTGTGATGTGGTGATGACAATGAGAATGGATGGTATTGGTGTAGGATGTGCTAAGGTGTACAAAGAGTCAGTTGGAGAGAGAGCTGATGATGGATGATGTTTTCAGGATCGAGGATATGCCTTCTTTCTCTCTACTGTCTTAGTTTATCAAATCTATATATATACTTTTGTTGTTACTTTAGCTTTAGACAATCTCCACATAAAGAAACCCAACAAAGGTGAAGTTTTATTATAACAACAATATCCAGAGGCAAAATGAGAAAGCAAGTTCAACATAAAAGCCATTGCAAGAAAATTATCCAATAGAAAATGTGACTTTAGATAGGGAGAAGAAGACAACATGATTTATGTTTTTATCAGAAGATAAGAATATGTTGTCACATAGGAATAGATTTGAACCAAATTTGATCAATAGTATCCAATTTCGAGCTCCGCGTTACCTTTTGGAAGTTTCATTAGTTTTTCGACAGCCGCTTCTGTTTCTGGCTTCATCTCTTCAGGAACCGAAGACATCTGGAACGTCATCTTGCGCGTTACAGTCCCTTGCGTAATAAAACGCGAAGCTAATGCAAACTGTTTCTTCGAACCCGTGAAATAAAACACCATCACAGATTCCACGCGGAAATCAGCATTGGGAAACACTTTCTCCTCCCAATTTTTGTCTTGTGTTCCACCAAATGAAGATTCACCTTCTTCCTTGGGAAAATTAGTACCCTATAAACATGCAAAAACATGTTTCAGATTTGATACCTACTAAATCAGACATAAGTGATAAACGTAGAAAAAAAAGACATCAAATCTATCTGAAACTGAAGCATGAAAATGTTCGTACCTTAAATGCTATATAGAGAACTTCCATTACTCCATTCCATTTGACTAAAACATTTCGCAACATCTCAACATGTTTCCAATTCATTACATCCACGGCCACCATCAAAATTTTACCATTCTGAAAAAAGTTAGCATCTCTACTCACCAAGAACTTATCCCCAATATGTTCTGTCTCCTTCAATTCATAAAAAAACAAACATAAACACATGTCATAGAAAATATAAATATCATTTCCATACATATATAATGCAGTTGATGATACTTACCTGAGCTTTGCATAATATATTATACATCATGGATTGTCTTCTCCCCATGTTCAGAGACCCAAACTTTGGAATAAACAAAAGCCTAGGGGCATGGATGACGAAGTCACATTGCCCATCAAAAACGTAGTCAATGGAGAGAATTTCCAGACGAGGTGCAGACACTTCAAAACGATCAACCTTAGAACAAGCCACCTGCAAGAGCTTTAGGTTCTTGTTATGAATCTTCAAGCAAGCCCTTCCGTTAGACCACATGACATGAAGCACTAGCACCTTGAGAGAGGGGCACGATGCAATAACTGTGTTCAGCACATCAACCTTAGTAGAGATTTGGTCCAGTTTGAGGATGATGAGGTTATGACATCGGTTGAAGGCATGTGCGGTTTTTAACTCGTAGTGGCATAGGAAGAGTGCTTCGAGCATTGGGTGCGAGAATGTGTTTTGAGGCAATTGGAGCAGATGGAATCCCCTAGGACGAGCACGAAGGTTTGAAAGTGAGAGAGCTTTGGTATGTTTCTGAAGAGTAAGTAATCGAATCCAAGTCTCGAGCACATCGGTGTGACATTGGTAGAAATCATGTTTGATTATGCAGCTCGCCAGATGACCATTGTGATTGTTTATAACCTTCAAGAAAACAAGATTTTAGTGGTTTTAATAAAACAACTATACACATATACAATTAAGATTTGAATGTAAAGGCTACGTACAGTTATATATCATCACTTGTTAAATTTAATAAAGTGGAATGTATCAATAATATCATGTAGTTAACTACTGTATTCGAATCAGGCAAGAGATTGCATAATTAGATTTTCATTAAATCTTAATATTAATCTTATGATAAAGCGTGAAAACCCGTTGCGAAATTAAAGATAAACCCTCATATACCCATAACCCAAAGATATAAACATGTTTGAACTTTTGTAATAAGAACTTTCTTGTGGTATTTACAAATCAAAAGGCTTATATAAATAAAAAAAAAAAAAAAAAAAAAAAAAAAAAATCATAGAGTATATATATGTTTTGTCTTCTTTTCCATGGATTTATCTGAAATTGTCGTTTGCCTCTAGTTATCTAAGGTTTTGATATTGTATAAATACCTACATACACACGAATTTCTCTACGAATGAAAATGTAATCATCAATTCAACCATTAGTACTAGCTAGCTATGGGCAAACAACAAATACTGAGAAAATGGAGTGAAGTTAAATTACCTTTGTTATCATTTTGGCAAGACGATCAGATTGAACAACAGGATGTTCCATGTTGGTTACGGTAGCTTTTTCCATATCGAAGACAAGGTTCGGAACATCTTTCCATACGTTCTTCCATCGTTGAGACAACACACTTGTCTTGACGACATCTTCTGTGGCCACATCCTTTAGGATCATGACCAACAATTCGTTTGGGAGTTCACTGATCCGGTCCTCCCCCGTATGGTCGAGGATTTGTTTGTCTCTTGCATCCGACGAGAGTGATGATGCGTTGTTCTTGGGTTTGGTCTGTTTGGATGAGCGACGAGACCGGAAACACCTGAGAACTGAGAGAGGAGAGCAACTCATGTTTTACTTGGAGGTTAGAGCAGCTAGTCACTAAGAGAGATGATGATAGGTTTGGTTAAAATTAAGCCATATGTATTAAGAAGAGATGAGAAGGATTACAACGTAAGGAAAATATCTAGGCGAGTAAGGCAAATATCCAAGTGGTAATTTTTATTTGTAATATGAAATGCTATTTTAAGTGGTTTTTTTTTTAATTTAATTTTTGTATTTAATGACTATGACATTTTTATAAAAACAGAAATAAATCTACAGTGGATACATACCTTATTATGTAACAAAATATATCTGCTTTCTAATTCAGAAATATATATATATATATATATATATATATATATATATATATATATGTGTGTGTGTGTGTATAATATGGAAAAAAAAACAAATTATACACGTGAGACTAAAACCCAAATTTTACATATAAAAAATATATAGTTATTTTTGATTTTTACTTGGTTTAAGACGTAATTAGGCTAATCTAAACCGGGCAGTAACAAAAAAAAAATTTCTTATTCGTCAGAAAGTCCAATGGAGCTGGATTCTTTTTTTTCTTAGCTAACTTGTAATTTGTAAATTAATATCATTAATATGAATAGTCAGGTCTTACACATACAGTACTGTTGTGATATAGTGACACCAATTCAGTCTCAACTCAATCTCAGATTCTCAATTCATGAATAAATAACAAATTATAGAACATATATAACAACGAGTTCGCCGCCGTGCAAGAATACAATTAATTTGTGTGTGGGAAAGTTCTCTCACAAACGTAATATATTTCACTACAATGTCAAAAACAAAAAAAAACAAAAAAGCTAAGAGAAGATTTTAACAAAAAAAAAAAAAAGCTAAGAGAAGAACAATAAGAAAAACAAAAGAAGATAAAGCAAAACCTTAAGGAACTTCTTCTTTACTTAGATGATCTTCTTCTATCTCTTTTTTGTTTGTCTACGGTTCAACTCTCCCGTCTGTACGTACGTGTATTACCATTGAGACACCCCTGAAACCTAATTACAGGATAGGGCTCACCAAGCTTTCTTTATTATGGAATAAAATATGCTTTTTGATCAAACCAAAGCAAGAAATATGTGTACAAAAAATATGGCAAAAAAAAAAAAGAAGTATACATGTCAGATTAAACCAATTTTTTAAATTGCAAATTAAAATATATTTATTTTGTTAATATGATTTTTACTTGGTTTAATTAATTATGCTAAACCCAATAAATACATGGGCTGGACTATAAGTTTTTTTTTTGTTTCTTATTTATTTATTAAACAGACAACCCTTTATAATAATTCTCCAAACAAGATTTCCTTTATATTGTTTTTGCCATTGTTGTTTTGCTTAGCTGGATTCATATCTCTTGAATAATATAGATTTAAAGAAATATATATATATATATATATATATATAATTATATATATATATATAATTATATCCAAATAAAGATTAGAAAGGGACAAGAAAATCATAAGAAAGTTTTAAGAAAATCATAAGAAAGTTTTAAGAGAATCATAAGAAAGTTTTAAAAGAAAATCATAACAGATTTTGTCACACAGGACTTATTAATTAGAGAGATATTAATTAATCCAACTATATTCGAACCAAATTTCATCAAAAGCTTCTAATAAGAAGACTCTCGTTACCCTTTGGTAGTTTCATCAGTTTGGCGACTGCGGCTTCCTTATCTAACATATCCGCTGCAGGAACTGCTTCTGTACCTAACTTCTTGTTTGCTGGAACCAAAGACGTCATGATGCTCATCTTCTTGGTTACGGTTCCTTGCGTTATGAAACGCGAAGCTAATGCAAATTGAGCTTTATTCCATGGGCAGAAATTATACAACCACACAGATTCCACTCGGAACTCAGCATTTGGAAACACTTTGCCCTCCTCCCACATCTTATTCTGTGTGGAAGATTCACCTTCTTCCTTGGAAAGATAGTCACCCTATACATATAGACAAGAACATAAACATAAGATTGTGTCGGAACTAATAGACACTAATTACACAAAAGTGATCATCATTAGAAAATGGATCAAAACTATGTAACTAGAAATTATAGCGTAACGTACCAGAAATAATATATGGAGCTCTATCAGTGTTCGATCCCATGCACTTAGTAGCTGTCTTAGCAGCTCAACTTCTTTCGAATTCGTTACATCCACGAACACCACCAAAGTTCTAATCCGCTTCAAATAGTTAGCAGCTCTACTCACCACGAACTCATGCCCAATGCTTTCTTTCTCCTTTAATATACAAAACATTAACATGTCAAACAACTTTTAACTAAAATATAATAAATTTTCTTGTACGTATACCTTAGCTTGATTTGAAATGTTGTAGTGCATGTTGAATCTCTTGAAGTCTATTTCACCATTATTGAGCAAAAATTTTGGGGAGTTGGTGGCGACGGTAGACTCAACACCAAGACGAAGACAGTAACTCGAGAAAATACGTAGACGAGGAGCAGACACCTCAATGCAATCAACATAGTTGGAAGACACATGCAAGAGCTTAAGCTTCTTGTTGTCAATCTTCAAGCAAGCATTTCTGTTGAGCCACATGACATCATCTAGCACCAGGACCTTGAGAGAAGGGCACGATGCAAGAACTTGGTTGAACACATCAACCTCGGCATCGATTGTCTCAAGTTTGAGAATCTTGAGATTGTGGCAGTTGTTGAAGGCTTCGGCAGTTTTGAAATCGTATCGATATAGGAACAGTATCTCGAGTTTTGGATGGGAGAACATGTCTTGGGACAACAGAAGCTGATTGCTTCTCGTACTGTCACCATGGCAGTTTGAAAGTGAGAGAGCTTTTGTTTCTTTCTCCTGAACAAGTAACTGAATCCATGTTTTGAGCACATTGTTAGGGTCTTTACACAGCTGGGCGTAATGATTGATTGAGCAGGCCTCTAGATGACCATCGTGATTGTTTATAACCTTCAAGGAAAAAAAAAAAGCTACATTAGTGACTTAAATACGTACAATGTTAGTTGTCAATAAAAACCAATTATTTAGTCATAACTTCTGCTAACTATGGGTTTATCAACTGTTAAATTCAATAAACTGAAAGATTTTCATTAACTATCAATAATGCATTTACACTTTCAAATATATGGATTTTGAAAATAAATCAAAGCAACAATTTCGTTATTATTGTGAGAACTTAAGATAAACCATATAAGCACATAACCAGAGAGATCAAACATATATGAACTGTGGTGTATTTGATTTCAAATTGGTCCGTGTAACGCAATATGTAACGCAATCAATAAATTCAACCATCATCTATGAGTTCTAGTTTAAAGAACAACGAGATAGATTGTGAAAAACAAAACATTTCCAGGTAGATTAAGAACTCTTATAAAGAGAGCGTACTAAAAGATTAGAGAAAAACCTTTGTAACAGCTTCCTCATCCAGAGGTTCATCCTTGGTCAAATCAACAAGCATATCCAAGTGGATGTAAGGTACTTGCTTCCATAGACTCTTCCAACGTTTACTCAGCACACCAGTCTTGATGGCATCTTCTGTGGTCAGAGTGGATAGGATCTTGACCAACACATCGTCTGGGAGATTGTTGATCTGGTCGGCATCGATATGGATCCGTTTGCCTCTTGCATCCGACGATAGTGATGCATTCATGGGTTTGGGTGGATGAGGAAGTACTTGAGAGGACTCGAGCAGTGAGAGAGGGAAAAGACTCATTTTTGACTTGTGTGTGTATACGAAAAAGAGAGGTGGAGAGGTTATATATTTTTTTATCTTGTTTGATTTATGAAGAGATTGGAAAGATTTATATAGAGACAACAAATATATCTTGGTGATGTTTGGTCGGAATACCCTAATTATAGTGTTTTTTTATTAAGAAAATAAATTATTTTGTTTTGACTATGACACTTAATAAACATGGAAACAAATTAGTAATTATTGTATTGCTTATGACATACAAGGTAAAATATATATGTTTACTATTCAAAGTAAAAGAAAATAAATTATATATAGATATCAACTATTTAATTACAAAAATAACTTTTCTTTAATTTTTTGTTTGATAGCCAATATTTGTTATTTATATAAATTCACCCAAAAAAAAGAAAAAAAAAAGAAACCATTATTTGCCTTAATATTTATTGTCTATTTTTATCTTTTAAGATATTTTTCCATTTCACTAGATATTTTAGTACGATCATATATTAGTAATTTAATATTAACATATATATATATATATATAATATAAACCAATCAACAAATTAATTAGAAATAAACTAATCATTTCTTTATATCATTATTCTCTATTGTAACAAGTTTCGAAGCTTTCTAACTATATTATTATGTGGATTGAGTTGTCAAAAAAGTGACTGTGGACTTTATCATATAAAACTAAGTTACTGTTTAATACCAGATAATAATAATAAGTTTCTGTAAGTTTCAAATTATTAAGTTCACATAAATAAATAAAAAATGTCATTTTCTAATAAGTTTAATTATACAACACATATTTTTCATGCTCATAATATTTATCAAGATGTTGCGAGTTGTAGTAGCACGCCTGGTTGGAGAATCAAGAAAAGCCTAACATGTGTATATGTGCTTTCACCGTAAGAGAGCATAGAAACGTATCTGGTCTAACTTGACACCATCGCTGCCGTAATTGGTTTAATGGAAGCATTCAATTTTCCGAGTCTGAAGAAAGACTAAAGAGACTGAGGAAGAGAATGAAGAATTACGTTTATGCATCGCGACTCGATCATCGGGATGCACTAAGAGCACTGTGCATTATAAAAAGATTCACTCACTGGTTTCTAGAATATTTTCTTGCTGGACGAATAGAATTATAGAATATTTTGGATTCTAATAATATCTATATATGAACCTCTTTGTCTAGAAACTTTTGTTTTTGAATAAAATATCACATCAGATCAACAACAACAACGTCAACTGATGAAATCCTATATCCAAAGAAAATGATTTTTACATAAAGAAATTTACAAACTAACGTCTGTTTTAATCAACAAAAATAACCAAAAGCGAAAGTACAAAACAATGTTACACTCACTGAACCACATCGAGAAAAAGAAGATAATAATGTGCAAATTTGTATGGCATTTAGAAGGAGAAAAATGTGTTTTAAATTGTTCTTGATACATTGGTTGCATATTAGAATTGAAATATTTTGAAGTATATATAACAAAAATTGATGATAAAAAATGAACCAATATATAGCATTAAAAAATAATGCATAAATGATATGAATTGTTCTTGACGTTATAAATAGATAGGCATTAAATTCGAGTAAATTAGAAAGAAAGTATTTGACTTCGTATCCATAAAAGTATTTGTCATGGAAAGAAAAGTATCCATGAAAATTGAGAACTCTTTTTTCTGGTGATTGTGTGAACTTGTAGGGGTTGGTTTGTTTTAGTCGATTTTTTTGTTGATGTTTCGTGGCATGTATGAAGATTTTTCAGTTTGTGGAGTTTTTGTGTTGTGCTTTGTGGCAAGTGAAGTTTTTATGTTTGTTTTCCGTTGTATATATGTATGAAGTTTTGTAATTGTGTTTCGTTGTATGTATGAAGTTTTCAGTTTGTTAGCTTTTGTGTGAAGTTTCTGTGTTTCGTGGCATGTATGAAGTTTGTTCAGTTTGTGGAGTTTTTGTGTTGTGCTTTGTGGCAAGTGAAGTTTTTGTGTTTGTGTTTCGTTGTATGTATGAAGTTTTTGTGTTTGTGTTTCGTCGTATGTATGAAGTTTTCAGTTTGTTAGCTTTCGTGTGAAGTTTATGTGTTTCGTGGCATGTATGAAGTTTTTTTCAGTTTGTGGAGTTTTTGTGTAGTGTTTTGTGGCAAGTGAAATTTTTGTGTTTCGTGGCACGTATGAAGTTTTTTAGTTTGTGGAGTTTTTGTGTTGTGTTTTGTGGCATGTGAAGTTTTTTGTTTGTTAGCTTCAAGTACGTTCGTGTGAGTTTGTGTTTTTTATGTTTGTGTTAACTAACTTCTTACTTTGATACGAGAGACCGATATATTTTACCACTTGACTCTTCCTTCATTTTTCTGGACTACGGATTGTGTTTACGACCTGTATAACTCAAAGACCAGTAAATATGCATGAAGCAAAGAGAATTATCAAATACGAGAGCAAATAAAGAGAAAAATTAATTCACTCTTTGTGAAAAAGAGACAAGAGGAAGGAACAACTTACCTTGTTCTGAAAGTGTTGTTGAAGAGACAAGATGTACAAGGAACAACTTACTTCACTCTTCCATTTGAGCTAGTGTAGTAGGCCTTGGATATCTTTTGATATTCTTTTCAATCTGTGAAAAAATGTACACGACCAGTTAGATTCTAGGCTTCGTAGCGAGGAATAGAACAAGTTAGCTCTACATGATACCTACCGTTTCTAGTCCACTAACTCTCAAGCTCTCAGAATTCATCCTTCACATGTTTCTCGCATACCTACTGATTTGAACCTGGAAAAAGATTCATAGAAGCATAAATATATGAACTCATTACAAACATAAGTAATAATCGCTTGAACCTGATGAGCATTTTAGGTTACTCACCATCATTGATGTGCTTGCAAGTTTCAGTAGATGTATAACATCCACAAAGTCGCTTACTCCACCCAGCTATTTTTTCATCCAACGAAAAAGATCTTTACGTCCTTCTGCTCTCATTTTCCCATCTGTTAAGGCAATTATAATTTAAGGAATCTGCATTAACATAATAAAAAAGGACATGCCTAAGATTACTAATTGCCATTTTATCTACCAACCTTGAAATAAATAATTAAACAATAGAGAATTGTAGAAGAATATATTACTTCATACCAATTCCAGTTGGTTGGATACGTTTAATAACCTCTTCCAGAAATTGGTTTACAGCTCACATTGAATCCAAACGCATCTACAAAAGTAGAAAAGACTCAGTTTCAGTTTTAAAGCTTATTATAAAATTCAAAAAGTATTGTAGGTTTAGACAACAATGAAGATTCCAATTTGTAAAGCACTTTCTAATTGGGAGTTTCAAAGCCCTTCAAAAGATAGGCATAATCTTGCTACTAGTATCTTCTCTAAGTGTTTCTTTGAAGCTAAAGTCCCCTAATGAACAGAATATAAGTACAGTAAGAGAAAAGGAAATCTGAAAATTATGACCATTCACACAAATACTATACCTCATACATGTTTTTCCTCATATTCAGCGTCAAGTGCACTTAGTAGTACATGCTTAAGAAACCCTTTTAACATCTGCAAACACAAGTAAATCAGCTCAACTCGATTATTAATATGATTTCTGACAAACACAAGTTAGATAAAGTAGATGCAGCTTAAAGAAGATCTTAGCAACCTTAGCAAACAAACTTGTGTAAAGCACCCAACATTTTGACTGTAGCAATTCTAGTGGCAGCTGTACTAGATTGGAGCAGAAGATCATTACAAGAATCTATCAAATCATGCCAAATGGACAGAGAAAGCTCTTTGTCAAAATAAAAATAACTTAGATACTACAGTTAAGAAAAGCAGGGAAGTGAGAGGCCTAGAATATCTAAGTAGAAGAAATCTTTAAAACCTCAAGTTTTGAAAGTGAGACACCAAAGTCATCAACAACAGAACCCATCCATAACAAGCCTTCACTAAGAAACTTGGGATTCTTGTGCTCTTTCATGTTTTTGTAAAGCTACAAACAAAAGCCATGAATCATCATTGTGATTAAATTAAGATAAAAATCATACAAAACTTACTGAACCAGTACATACCCTCTCGAAAAAAATCGAGAACTAATGTTTCGTAGAAAGCAGTAGGACACTTCATAGCAGAGGCTCAAGTCTTTATATCTGCAATTCCATAACTTGTGTCTGCAAATTAATACAAAACCTCAGGCAAGTGAGCAAGAACTTGCATATTTAATAGATAAGCTGTTACTGCCACCTACACAATAAAGGGTGAGGTGAGAAGTCAATGAAATAGAAGGAAAGTGAATAATTACCACACTTCATCCATGTATTTCCATACATAGATGACCCTTACTATGCTTTCCTAAGTGAGAACCAATATGAATGTGACAGAAAACAAGAATACAAGTATCCATGTATGTATGTATGAATGCATGAATGCATGAATGTATGAATGCATGTATGAATGTATGAATGCATGTATGAATGTATGAATGCATGTATGAATGTATGAATGCATGAATACATGTATGTATGAATGAATGAATGTATGAATGCATGAATGTATGAATGCATGAATGCATGTATGTATGAATGAATGAATGTATATGTACGTGTCAACAATCTTCAACTGATTGTCAACAATTTTAGACTATGGAATTGGCTGCAGCATAAGAAACATGACAGAACATGCAAAGTATAAAGATAAGAATCAAAAGACGAAGCAGAAAAATGATTAAAGACGATATATTTGGAAAAAACTAAGATCCGTACATTAACATACCTCTGAGTCGCTTCCTTAATTAGTGGTACTTTAAGGTTAATTTGTGATTCTGAAACTGGTAACTATGAAGAACCATAACACACTAATACACCATCAAGCAACTAAATAATTAGCACAAAAGAAGAAAAAAACAAACACATATATAGTTCAACAAAGGATCTAATTTGTAGGAAAACTCACCACTTTAATTCTTCATCAAGAGCAAACTTGACCAAGTTCGTATCATACTCTATTAGACAAATCATCTTCTCCTCAATGAGCTTCCCATGTAGTTCCACGCCAACCTATATTAAAATTATACAAGCTTCGTTATCAGCTAATCAAAAATTCTTGTAAACACAAGAAATTACGAAAAATACACAGATAATCCTGAAAATAATATTGAAAATCAAACTTATTGTATCCACTACATACAAATGTCTCTTTCTTCAAGAAACGAAGACTTAAACGATATGAACTGTAACATGGAAAAGAAAGTAACCAGAAGAATCAGATCAGAAACAGAGTGATGGATGAACAAATCTAACCTAGAAACAGAGGAGCACGAAACCATCTTTGATTTACCAGCCACCACCACGTTCATGGTGAAGATCATGAATCGAAATACCTTTTATCTTCCTGTCGAAACCAAACCAAACAAATCACCGATTGGGATAAATTAAATAACAACAATAATAATTGAATCAAGTAACAGAGAAACACAATTCGTAAACAAATCAATCGATGGAACCCAAAATGTTTAATAATTAAATCAATTAACGAAGAAACAAAATTCGTAATCGGATCAATCGATGGAACCCAAAATGTTCAATAATTGAATCAAGAAACAGAGAAACAAAATTTATAATCTGATCAATCGATGAAACCCTAAATGTGAAAATCGAATCAAATAACACAGAAACACAATTTGTACGATAGGAACCCTAAATGTTTTATAATCGAATCAAGTAACAGAGAAATCAAACTCGTAAATAGATCAATCTTCAGAATCAAAATGATCGGAATCCTAAATCCGGGAGTATGATTTCTCGTGTAACTAACCTTAGAATCGATAACCTTAGCAAACACCTTCTAGTGTTTGATCGCCGGAAAGATAAAAGCACCTTATGCTTCCGATTTGCTTCACACGACCGTTCGAAACCTTCTACTCAATTTCTATAGACAATTTGTGAAAAAGAGAATTCTAGGGTTTCAGAGAAATGAGAGAGATAGTGAGAGAGATTTGCTTCACACGACCTTTTGTTTCGTTATATTGAGGATTCAAATTTTGAAAATGTCATAAATCCCTCTCGAAACAAAATGAACCGTTACAAATTTACATTTAAATTCCAACCTGTACGCGTCATAATTGTATGATGATCAAAAGACGAAAACAACGATTTAATTTTTTTAATGTACCCCTAACTACAAATTAAATTTCAAAATAACCCTCGAGAGATACCGGTTTAAGCTGGTTTATCTGGTTTTATCATAAATTTGGTTTCGTAAAGTGATCAATTGTTTTACTCTAACCTGTGTTACTCGAGTTTGTTTTTTCCTTTATTTTTTTTTTCTTTGTGTTGCTCGAGTTTAATTAGGTTTTACTTGGGACATACGAATTATATTTATGAGTGATATATGTGTGGTTCTATAACGTAATGGACAAAACATATAATTTACTAAATGATGCTTCCTCATATGATAGAACAACACGCGTTGGTTAGAGCAACTAGCTCGGTACTTAATTTAGGACTTGATGGACCTGTAACTAAAACCACACTGCTGAAGACTATATTAGATTCGTTAAGCTTTCTTTATGTGGTACGTTCAATTGTGAGTAACTTACTAACAGTAGCCAGACAACACCTGAATATATACTTTGATGATTAGATGCTTCCCTAAGATCAAGATAGTGATGATCACATGCTTCTCTAAGATCAAAATCCCAAGTAATCATCTTTTGATAACACGGTCATGGACTTATCATAGTTAACTTGGCAATCTAAACTAGCAACCAAATTGATCTCTAGTAACAATAACCATATTTGTTTGAACCCCACTGAGGAGTAAGAATTTAAGCAGATGGACTAATGATGGACTAATGTTGCTCTGCCTTAGAGATTTAAATATGTGATCTCTTGTTTCAAAAGTTTGATTTTTATACAGATCAGTGAGCTGTCGTCAAACTAGACAAAACCAGACTTTACTAGTTTGTTCTTGCTAGGCTAATTTACTAGTTAGAAAAAATTCGATAGTATAAGGTTTGGGAATTTGGATAGTGTCAAGTAGAAAGTTAATGTTACTTTTCTTTTATCTTTGTGGTTAAAATTAATTTAAACCGAATAATTAAGATCAGATTCGTAGCAAGATACAGAAAAATTCAAATAGATCAGATCGATACAAGAGAAAAAGGATACTGAAAACAGTATCTTTCTCAATTATCAAGCATGTAAAGCCCTAAGATTGATTTTTTTCTATTGAAACTTAAAAGCATTCAAATTTAGTCAACATAAAAGCTAGCCACTGAAAGAAAATTGTATTTTGTTTTTTCACTTAAACTTAAAACCATTCAAAAATAACCAACAGAAAATGTAACTTTAGAGAAGGGGTGAAGAAGACAGCATTATTTATGTTTTTATCAGAATGATATGATTTTGTCACACATGACTAGCATCAAACCAAATTTCATCAATAGTATCCAATTTCGAGCTCCTCGTTACCTTTTGGAAGTTTCATTAGTTTGGCAACAGCCGCTTCTGTTTCTGGCTTCATCTCTTCTGGAACCGAAGACGTCTCGAACATCATCTTGTTCTTTACGGTCCCTTGCGTTATGAAACGCGAAGCTAATGCAAATTGTTTCCTAGAACCATTGAAATTAACCATATACACAGTTTCCACGCTGAAATCAGCACTAGGAAACACTTTTTCCTCCCACTTTGTCACTTGTGTTCCACCATTCGAAGATTCACCTTCTTCCTTTGCAACATTCTTATCATATACATATATAAACATGTTTCAGATTTAGTACCAACTAATCAGACAAAAGTGATAAACGTAGAGAAAAAAAACATAAAATGTTCGTACCTTGAATATTATACAGAGCCATCCCGTTAGTTCATTCCTTGCGACTAAAACACTTCGCAACATCTCAACTTGTTCCCAATTCATTACATCCACAGCCACCGTCAAATATTTAACATTCTGAACAAAGTTAGCATCTCTACTCACCAAGAACTTATCCCCAAGATTGTCTATCTCCTTCAATTCATATAAAACAAACATAAGCACATGTCAAATAATATATAAATATCATTTATATATACATATATAATGCAGTTGATGATACTTACCTCAGCTTTACATGATATGTTATACATCATGGATTCTCTTCTCCCGATGTTCAGAGACCCATAATTTGGAATAAACCAAAGCCTCGGGGCATGGATGACGAAGTTACAATTCCCATCAAAATCGTAGTCAAAGGAGAAAATTTCCAGAAGAGGTGCAAAGACTTCAAAACGAAAAACATTAGAGCATGCCAAATGCAAGAGCCTAAGGTTCTTGTTACGAATCTTCAAGAAATCCCTACTGTAGGATAACTTGACATGAAGCACTAGCACCTTGAGAGAGGGGCACGATGCAATAACTGTGTTTAACACATCAAACTTTGCAGAGATTTGGTCCAGTTTGAGGATAATGAGGTTATGACATCGGTTGAAGGCATGTGCGGTTTTTAACTCGTAGTGGCATAGGAAGAGTGCTTCGAGCATTGGATGCGAGAATGTGTTCGGGGACAATTGGAGCAGATTGAGTCCCCTAGGACGAGCACGAAGGTTTGAAAGTGAGAGAGCTTTGGTATGTTTCTGAAGAGTAAGTAGTCGAATCCAAGTCTCGAGCACATCGTTGTGACATTGGTAGAAATCATGTTTGATTATGCACCCCTCCAGACGACCATTGTGATTGCTTATAACCTTCAAGAAAACAAAGATTATAATGGTTTTAATAAAACAACTATACACATATATAACCATATAAGTTGACAATACACATATACAATTAGCATTTGAATGTAAAGGCTATAGTTATATATCATCACTTGTTAAATTTAATAAAGTGAAATGTATCAATAATATCATGTAGTTAACTACTGTATTTGAATCAGGCAAGAGATCTTGTATTATTAGATTTTCCATTCAATCTTAAAATCTTATGATAAAGCATCTATAATATATGCTTGTACTAAAAAAAAGATTGAAAAATCATTGTTATTTGTTAAAACCATGTAATCATCAATCCAACCATCACTCCATCAGTACTAGCTAGCTACAGCCAAACAACAATAGAGTGAAATTACCTGTGCTATCTTTTTGGCAACACGAGCAGATCGAAGAACCGGATGTTCCATGTTGGTTACGGTAGCTTTTCCCATATCGAAGACAAGGTTCGGAACATCTTTCCATACGTTCTTCCATCGTTGAGACAACACACTTGTCTTGACAGCATCTTCTGTGGCCACATCCTTTAGGATCATGACCAACAATTCGTCTGGGAGTTCACTGATCCGGTCCTCCTTCGTACCGTCGAGGATTTGTTTGTCTCTTGCATCCGACGAGAGTGATTCGTCTGGGAGTTGACTGATCCGGTCTTCCTCCGTACCGTCGAGGATTTGTTTGTCTCTTGCATCCGACGAGAGTGATTCGTCTGGGAGTTGACTGATCCGGTCCTCCTCCGTACCGTCGAGGATTTGTTTGTCTCTTGCATCCGACGAGAGTGATGATGCGTTATTCATGGGTTTGGTCTGTTTGGATGAGCGACGAGTCCGAAAACACCTGAGAACTGAGAGAGGAGAGTAACTCATGTTTTACTTACGAGTTACACCAAGAGAGCTAGATGATGATAGGTTTGGTCAAAATTATGACATATGTACCAAGAGATAAGGAGGATTACATGTAACCAAAAAAATCTGGGTGGTGTTTTATTTTTATGGTAATTAAACCCTATGTGAAGTGGGATTTTTTTTTTTATCTTATCTTTTTAATTAATTTATTAACTATCACATTTGTATAAAACAGAAATAAAAAAATAAAAAAATAACACATTCCTTATTATTAACAAAATATGCTTTCTGTTCAAAAGGAAAGAAAAGAAATATATTAGAGAATATGGAAAGAAAAAAACAAATTAGACAGGTCAGACTAAGACAACTTTTAATTGCAATATAATTGTTTTTTTAATTGTGATTTAAACTTAGATTAAGATGTAATTAGGCTAAACTCTAAAATTGTAAACCCAAAACAACGCAAGGGCCGGGCTTTAACAAAAAAAAAAATCTGATTCATCAGAGAAAATCCAATGGAGCTGGATTCATATGATATCACTTGGAGAATATCTTCTATAATCAAACAGAAGAGCTGTATATAAATCACTTACTACTTTTAGAGATTCATATAATTGTATTCAATCTCAATCTCAACTAGGATTTATCCCGTGGTACACCACGGGTCCATAATTTAATATATTTGCTTGATTTATTATTTTTATAGTTGGTTTATATACTATAGTTTTATACGTTTTTATATTATTTTAATTTTATATAATTTTATGAATTTGTATAATAAGTAGACTCATAGATATATGTGGTCAGTCCGCGATACACTTCACAAAAAAAAAAAAAAACTTGCAGTACACCACAGGATGATTTGTTGTAAATAAAAATTTATATTTTAACTTAACCCGTAAAACTTTTTTAATATACACAACCCGTAAGAAACATATAATCATATTTATATAAACTCAAAACCGTTCATTCATATTTATTTATAATATTAATATATTTGAAATATTTTGAGTTAAAATATTAATAATATTTTAAATTTTTGTCGAGTTTAAATATTTTTTATATTT